GGAGGAGGCGCCAGGCGAAGAGCGGAAGGGAATCTTCGCTCCCTGATTATTTCAGGGCAGGGCGTTGATGCTCTGCCAGAAAATCTTCGCCCCCCCCCCCCCCCCCCCCCCCCCCGGGCCTCCTGGAAGAACCTTCATGGATTTGTCCGCACAGCATTGCGCTGCTTCCGTTTGTCAGCCTGACGACCTGACGCAGGGAATCATTCGCAAATTGACACATGAGGCAGACACACCCGCAGACCGACTCCCCGAACTTCCTGCAGCTTGATGCCAGTGCTGTAATTGTCTCGGTTCTCGGCAGAGACCGGCACTGTATCTGCCATCGTTTGCTGTATGCTCTGAGCTTTCTGTTGAATCTGGCTGTGAACTGACAGCATGTCAGCGCAACACCAGCAGCTCTCTCTCTTCACAATTCTCACCGGCCTGTGTCGTGCTCCTCGCAGACACCACAGGCTGTGTTGGGCTCCTCGTAGAGACTCCAGCCTGTGTTGCGCTCCTTATGGTACTCGCTGAAGACCCTGCGGACGTCGGCTGGTACTTGGGCAATGCAGGCCGGCGAGCCTGGTCGATCTGATTTTGATAGACAGGTCGACTGTACTGAGAAGACCCTTGAGAAGAAGCCGCGGTGAGTGAGAAGACCAAAAGGCACAGATATGTCACCTCTGCTAACGACGCTTCTTGTCTGCTGGTTGGACAACACTTGCTGCTGCTGTTGCTGCTGCTGCTGCTGCTGCTGTTGTTGCTGCTGCTGTTGCTGCTGCTGTTGCTGTTGCTGTTGCTGTTGCTGTTGCATCTGATTTGCATAAGGATTCGCTGTCAAGGGATTCAGATCCTTCACCCGCAAACATCTCCACTCACTCATGGTATAGGTAACTCTCTGATACTGCACCTGCGAGGCCTGTGCTTGAGCAGGAACCTGCACTCGCACATACTGTTGGCTCGGCCAACTCTGATTGGTCCAACCTGAAGAAACACATCTTCACTTCCCTCACCCTCTCCTCCCACATTTTCTCACTCTCTCGCTCTCTCGCTCTCCCTTTCTCCGTCTTTATTTCTCCCCCTCTCCAACTCCCCCTCCCCCTCACCAGCATTCATATTGGGGTAGGAATATTGCTGATATCCCCCGACGATGCTCACAGGTTGGTACTGCTGGTACATGGGATAACCTGCACAGTCTCGCTTGTCACGTCATCGCGTTACCATCCTGATGGAGGAGTACCTTGCCCTGTTACCATGGACTGCTGTGAGGAGAACAATCTCGTCAGCTCATTTTAACGACCCGATCATCTAGATCGTCTTCTTTCCTGCACTCCTGTACCCGGCTAATCATCAAAGTTCCACCCTTCTGGTCTAATGCTGGTTTCTATCCCTGTGAGCGACGAAGATGCCCGTAGACCGAGGATCTACTATGAGATTGGATGGAGGTACCAACGTTGCTAGTCAGCATATTTTGATTGATAACCTTCTACTCTTCTTCCTCATCGTCCTGAGAACATCTACATGCTTGTCGACTTCTTCTCATCTACCTCGCCTCAATCTCACGAGGAGCATGCGGTGGTTTCCACACATACGTTTTCATCTCTCCTCCCTCCTCCTCTCCCTCCTCCCCTTGCCTCCTCTCTTGCTTCTCTCCCTCTCCTCTCTCTCCCCTCCCTCCCTCCACCTCACCATTTTCGTCCTGTCGGCTACTGACGCAATGAACTACGATCTACCCCACCCCAACAATGCTTCCGTCACCCCTCAGAATTATTGACTACCGGTTATTGCCCATGTCTCTGACAGACAAATAACGGGTATCCGAGACACCCCTGATGGATATCACCCACCCCACAGTGACACCACCCCAGGGTAATAAGTCGTGCCGGGTGAATTTGAAAAAGAAACACCCAAGAAAAATGTGAAACTCTATGACGAGAGACTTGGCTGCGAACAAGCGGAGGACAGTGAGCTAGTGAGTGAGTGAGTGAGTGAGTGAGTGAGTGAGTGAGTGAGTGAGTGAGTGAGTGAGTGAGTGAGTGAGTGAGTGAGTGAGTGAGTGAGTGAGTGAGTGAGTGAGTGAGTGAGTGAGTGAGTGAGTGAGTGAGTGAGTGAGTGAGTGAGTGAGTGAGTGAGTGAGTGAGTGAGTGAGTGAGTGAGTGAGTGAGTGAGTGAGTGAGTGAGTGAGTGAGTGAGGGAGTGGAGGGAGTGAGTGAGTGATTGAGTGAGTGAGTGAGGGAGGGAGTGAGTGAGTGAGTGAGTGAGTGAGTGAGTGAGGGAGGGAGGGAGGGAGTGGAGGTAGTGGAGGAGTGGAGGGAGTGGAGGGAGAGCAGAGAGGAGAAGATTTACTAGCGCATGGGGCTGATTATTGACCAGTGATGTCTGCTCCAAGGGACTAGGTAGAAAAACATGCTCCAAGTATCCTAGAGGTGGGAAATGTTGATGGGAGTTTGCTCGTACGCGTCGATGTGGGAATTGAATCGTCTGACTGGTCGGATCGACTCGGGTCTCCTCTTCAGCCTCACAAGCTCTTTGCCTCCTCCCTGTCGACGGGCTGTAAGTCCAGCAGCTCCCAGCACGAAATTTCACCTCTTTACAGCAGATCGTGAGCTGCTCAGCCTCGTCGTCGTTGAGATACCAATCCAGACGACTCTGCCATGGACGTCACTGTTTGAAAGATCTGATGGAAGGAGATAAAACACCTCCAGCTCATGCTCGAAGTACTTCTGCCCTGCTGCTGTCAGCTCGAAGGGGGTCTGTAACGCGTATCTTGGCATCCTCCTGGGCTCCTCACCACGACACACCTGCGGTGAAGTCAGCGGGGTGGGAAGAGGAGGCGGGAGGGCAAGGCAGACATGCACTATGCTTCTCTCGCCGAAGAAGATGAACCCGTCGGGGGTGAGGAACTGCGTCACGTCAGCTCCACCAGTACCTCCACCCGCACCTCACCAGCAGCCCTCGCGCCTTGTGAGGGATCGACCGATGGGCGTCCAACGACCACGAGACCTTCATGACGGCACCTTGAGGACCTGCGGGGACAGTCGTCATGCTCTCCCGCTAGTGCGAGTGGGGGACCCACTGATTGTCCAGAGCCCGGCTGCTGTGCTCTTGTCGTAGGGGTAGCGAACCTTGGATCGATCCTGACAGATGATTAGAATGGGAGGAGGTCAAAGTTCCAGCTGGGCGGCTGCTGGTCGGGGGTCTCTTCTCACCTTGATCTCTATGATCAAACGAACCAGCATGTGGGCCATGAAGCAGACGCGGGGCCAGAAGTCTCCCCACCTGCGCAAGCTTGACAAGTTGGACAGGCTGCAGAGTGCAGCTGACCTCGCACAGGTGAAGATGGTTCTTGTAAACTCCCCCTGTTGAGATAGTCAGTGTCTGTCCTCCCTTGTCCTGGCACTTCACCCTCCACATCGGCTCCCCCTTCTCGGTCCGATCACGGGGCATAGCAGCGCCTGGAAGGAAGCGGAAAAACCCTGACAGCACGAATCAGGGGCAGGGAATGACTTGTACCTGACCCACCATCATCGCTATCATGGTACAACTCGATGACTGTGCCGTAGATCCGGTTCCGAAGGACAGTGTACCCATCTCCTCCTTGTCCTCTTCCCTGAACGATGTCCCAGACCTCCTGCGCAGTCATGGAGCTTACCCAGTCGTCTTCTGCTGAGCCTGAACCCTTGGGCATTTTCACAATCTCGTCCCCATGCGCATCCATCGGCTCGTCCGTCCTGTCAAGACCTGCTGCAGTCCCGCCAGCAGTACCGCCATGTTGAAAATGAGGGGGAGGGAACTCGTCGTTCACGTCTGGATCTTCTTGCTTGCCCATCGTCCATAGCAAGTCCCCGTCCCATTCTTGCTCCTCGTCTCCCCCCTCCCCAACGGTTTCATTGTCACTGTCTTGCAGACCAGTGAGATCGGCAGGCTGTAGCCATTCGGGTTTGACTGGTCAAGTGATCAAAAAAATGTTAACAGGCTGATGAAACATACTGGAATTATTTGAAATGACGGAGGTGGGTCGACTTGAAATCGATTCAAGCATTCCCATCGCATTCTTCAATGCTTGGTCCAAAGCAATTTTGGCGTCTAGATGCATCATGGTCATATATGGAGGAAACTTAAGAGTAGGAAACTTAAAAAACACGGAAAGAACCAACAGCCAGAATAAAAAACATATTCGGCAAGCATCAAGAACAACGGACACAAGCAAGTAAGGAACGACTGGTGCGAAGTTACCGATTTCAGCGTCGCTAGTAGCATTAGTGGCATTTGCAAACAACTTTTGGATGACGTCAGGAGTCCAAATATGCCCAGAAGTGTTCGAAGGCTTGGATTTCATCCCTTTGAGCAGGTCGTTGATGTTTGGCAGACTTCCAGATTGTTTCTTTTCTTTCCCAAGAATCTTCTGCAAGCTCAAGTCGTCTCCTTTCATTTTCGTCTTGTCAATCTTCTTCTTAAGCTCCACCAAGGGATCGACATCTGAAACTTTGTGGCCTAAAGAAATCTTTTCCTTGGGCTGAACTTTCTTGGTTTTGATCTGGAATGAGTCACTGGTTTCAGCTGAGTCCATGCGCAACGATTGAAGCTCGTTTTCTAGTCGCTCGATCTCATTGTCTAATGCAGAAAGATCGACCTCCTCCTCCTCCTCCTCCTCCTCTGTCCCATTCTTGGCAGGCCGTAGCGACTCGATCATGTTCACATGTTCTAGATCGATCTTTTGCTTTCGAGCTGCGAGCCTCCTGTTCTTGTGCGACTCCTCAACCAGCGCCTGCATGAGCTTCACCTGCGTGTCCAGCCGTCCTTGGATCGCAAGGCTAGTCATCGAGTTGTTGACTTTCTGAGAGAACAAGCTCGACTGCTGCTGCACGTCCTTACCGCCTACGACTGTCAGGTTGAGCTCGCTGGGATAATGAGTCTCTTGCAGCATCAGTTTGCTATCGTCTACATCTTTTAACGGCAGAACGTCATTGGCCTTCTCGTCTGCTCGTAGGAATGCCGCAGCCTGTTGGAGCAGCGAAGTTGAGAGCTTCTGATCCCTCTCCCTGCGCCTCTTCTCCCATTCCACCAGCTGCTCATTGCTGATGATCAGACCTGAGTGATACGCGTAGGGGGCCACGTCCACCGCCGACTTCTTCCAGACTGCAGTCTCGTTCAGCTCTGACCACTTGGCTGGCAGAGCCTCATGGGAGGCGTTGATTCTCAGCTGCAGCTTCTTCATGTAATCAGGGTCAAGGCTCTGACAGAGCTCGTTGAACTTCCCGACGCCCAGGAGCGTCTGGTCGATGTCGTCATCGTCGTACTCCAAGTATGCTTGCCTCCTTCGCTCCAGCAGGTTGAACCCTTCCACAATGTCTCCCACCAGCCTGTGGTCGACGAGCTCCAGCACGTACACCAGCTGATCAAGGGTGGCATTGAAGTGGTTGACAAGCATGTCGGTCGCAGCCTTCTCGTTCTCGGCGTGCCCTGCCTGCAAGCAAGATGTCACAAGGGGAGGGGAGGAGAGAAACAGGTTCCTGCACGAGCAAGCTTGTCGAGCGCTTCCACGTCTCCCTCTCCTTCTCCCTCTCGCGTAGCTTCATGTCCACGAGCTCTTGCAGAGAGACGTTTTCATATCGGAACTGAGTCATCGTCGTCGGGTCGTGGTAGTTCGTTTGGTAGAGGGGCTGGCTACCCTTGATTGGATGGAGGTAGGTAGCTGAAGGCTGAGAGAAATAATCGCCGAACTTATTGTAGTCCATCTCAGGATTTTCCTCCTTTTCCTCCTCCATCCCCTCCTTGATCCACGGGAACGCTTCTTCCAGCAGCTTATTCCCAGACGGTTTCAGGTTGTCGGGCTGGACGCGCTAGTCAGGTAGGAGCGGGTGGAGGTGAAGGGTTCACCTCTGCCTGCATCTTCTCGTTCTCTCTCTCCACAACCTCGTGCAGAGGCTCCAGCTCCCCGTCGTATCCTCTCAGCCCCGACCTTCCTTCTTGGAGCAAGTCTGCAATCTCGTTTCTCTCCTCTTCCCCTGCCCCCTCCTCCTCCTCCTCGCTCTCAACTTGGCGGTCAAACATCAGGTCATCTTGGAGGAGGTACTCTGCCATAGTCCCCAAAGACACCCACTCTATCCTAGAGTACTCCACCACCATCGCTTTCAGCGACCTGGCGGAAGTGAAGACGAAGCCTTCGGGCCGTAGGAACATCTCGTCCTCGGGGGAGCCCCCTTCAACCCTCATCAGGCAACATGACCCTCCACGCACGCATGCTCACCTGTGTTCCGCACCACGATGTTCCTCCACCTTTTCTCCGTATCATCCGCTTCCAGCTCGAAGATCCACGACCCGAACGTCATCCGTCCGTCCTCCTCGAAGCCCTGCACATCCAGTATCGGGACTCTCTTCACCTTGCCATCAACCACGAGGTTCCTTGCACTCAGGGACGGTGTGAACACAAAACCAGCGTCGTTGCCCAGGTATGAACGAACTTCTCTGTTCTTCGACTTCAGCTCTTGCCTCACACAAGAAAGAAGCTTACCCCTTCTTGCTGCACTGAAACGAGAACGACATGTGCCCTGCGTCCCTCAACAACTCGATCGTCGCCCCGGTCTTGACATTGTGTAGACTCACAAACTCTCTCTCCTCCCAGGGGCCCTCCCCGCTCCCATGCGTGAAACTCCAGTCGGAGATAGCGCTCCTGTCTGGAAGGATCTCCTCGTCGGAGTATGCGTCTTCACTGTCTCCCTTTTCGTTCATCTCCTTGATCAATCTCTCCTTCGCAGCAGCAAGGGATGGATATTCCGCGTCCTCGTCGCTCACTGTACCCCCTTGCAACCGCAGCACGCGCAGGGCAGACGTTCGACCATAGCGGCAACAGGGAGCTGCATGCCTCGCCTGAGATGGCAGATGCAGCTTGCAGACGCAGGTGGCTACGAAGAGGCTCAGGGCAAGGTTGATGCTCCTCATGATGGGTTGCTCTCCTCCTCCAGCAGAGCTCCTCCCTCCTCCCTCCTCCTCCTCCTCCTGTTCCCCCTCTCCTCCTAGCTGCTGGTCCCTGCTCTTGGTTGCCGCATGATCCGCCTCATCCCTGGAGGATGTCGTGCAGGACCCCACATCCCCTCACACACATTGAATATGAGGGGGATGAATCAGGGAATGAATGGTACCGGACATGTCCAGCGAGATTGAGATGCAGCGAGATAGCGGGAAGGAGGAGGAAGATGGAGGGCTCAGAGGAAGGGGAGGACAGGAGAGGAGAGGAACAGCGAGAAGATACAACAGGACAGAGAAAAAGAACAAGGGTTGTATGCGAGCACGGGAGGTAGCGATCGAAATGCAAGGCATGCGGGGGAGGGAGGATATATGCGAGCACTGGCGAGTCCGATCGCGATGCAAGGCATGCTGGGGGGAGCAACATGGTTGAGCTAGCACAGGGTTGATCGTCTACCGTGCATGTACATACACTTCTGCTTCTCTCGCATCATGTAGGTTGAAGTACAATGCTGCCAAGCTCGAGCAGTTTGAACATACACGAGGATGCTCGTTACAACTTCCATGAGGCGGTCCTGATCACTTCAGACCTGATAGATCGGCTCGACCTATCGAGCATTATCAGAATCCTGTGAACCTACTTGATTTGGTAGAGAGGAGGAGAGAGAAGAACATGTCAACCAGCGCTTTCTTCCTTCTTCTGCTTCAGTTGGAATGGCGACAATCGGTGGCTTGGGACGGGTATCACTTGAGGTCGCACAGAACTCTGTCTCCCATCCGGGATCATGCCAGTGATGATGCACATCCATGGAAGGTCCTGACTGAGCTCGACTTGACGAAGGAGGGTCGGACCCCTACTACAGGGATGACGTCGACGCTGCCGGCAATCCTGAAGGAAGAGGGAAGGGGCGCCGGTTCCGGCTCAGAGGCTGCTGCCGAGCAAGAGGAATCACTGCCGAGTCTGGTAGTATCCGATCCGGCCGGCTTCAAACGGTCAAAATCCTGGATGAATATGGGGCAATGAAGTTGACACTTGATGACGTTTCATGATGTCAAGGTCGAGTATAAGTTTGCTATGTACAAGTCACTCCATCACTCGCAGATGTTGTCGTCGATGCCGTCGCAGAGGGGAATGAAGGTCTGTCCATCCTGGCAGCTCGGCGCGCAGACGTAGCACCTGCGGCCCTGTGAGTCGCTCCTCTTCCTCTAGCGATACCCGACTTTGTGTTCCCCTCCCTGTAGTAGCCGGGCGCACAGAGGAAGAGAAGTCTAGCAAAGGAAATCGTCAGGAAGATCAGGAGGAGGGGGGTCAGGAGGAGCTGAAGGGGAGAGCTGGCGACTAGGAACAGAACCGCGCCGGTCACCTGTCGACTCGCGCTCTGTTGGCGATGTAGATCATGTTGACGCTTGTAGAACTGTCTGTCTGCGAACGCCGTCAAGAAGATGAATGAAGGGGAGGAGGGGCAGAGGGAGGAGGGAGGGAGGAAGGGAGGGAGGGAGGGAGGGAGGAGATGGGAGGGAAGGGAGGGAGGGAGGAGATGGGAGGGGAGGAGATGGGAGGGGAGGACTGGCTTACAAGAGCGATCGAATTGACGTGGTACGGAGTGGACAGGAGGGTAGTCACAATCTGAGTCTCTAAGTTCACCACCCGGATGTTCATGGCGTCATAGTCGGCAACGAAGAGCTCGTTGGTCTGCGGTGGGTGGTGACGTCAGCACCTCTGGAGCAGAGAGGGCCAAGGAGTTTACAGCGGAGGAGAGGGCGAGGCTGAAGGGAGAGAGGAAGCGAGCGAAGGTCCCCTTGCCGTCTTGCGTTCCCTGCTTCCACGCGTATCCTGCTGGGCGTCAGAGGTGAAGAGGAGGAAGAGGAGAGGAACAAGGGATGGAGTGGAATTAGGAGACGAGAAAACGAATGCGAGGTGGGGGAGGAGGAGGAGGAGGAGGAGGAGGAGGAGGAGGAGGAGGAGGAGGAGGAGGAGGAGGAGGAGGAGGAGGAGAAGGAGGCGGTATCTACCGGCAAGCGTCGAGACGTCCCTGGTGGAGATGCTCAGAGTACGGATGCGGTGGCTTCCACTATCTGCAATGTAGAGCTTGTCCTGCTAGCCCTTCAGCGCCTCCTAGCCCTCAGTCACTTGGCTCACCCCATCGAGGACTATGTCCCGAGGACTGTGGAACTCAGCGGAGGTCCCGACGCCTGCAAGGGCTCAAGTGAGAGGAGGCGACAGGAAACCTCTCGGCCTCACCGTCTACGAAGCCGTTGGCTCCTGATCCTGCAAGTGTTTGAACCTCCCCAGTGATGACGTTGACCATGCGAACTGTCAGGAAGTAGTGAGGTCACTTGCAGAGAGATCCGTTGATTCTCTCTGCTCCATCCCCTTTCCCTCCCCCATCTCCTTGTTTCCTCGTCTTGTACTCTGCTTCCCCTTTCACATTCTCTCCTCGCCGTCCTTGACCTCGACCTGCTCGTCTTGCTCGCTCTACCTCGATTGTTGTCGAGCAGGTAGAGAGTGCTCGAGCTCCCTGTGCTTGAACTCGCAGCCAGACCGATGGGCAACTCGAGTTGTGCTGTGCTCCGATTGCCATCGGCTGTCCCTGCAAACCCTGGGAGGCAGTCAAAGGCAAAGACAGGAGGTTGAGAGAGGAGAGAGGAAGAGAGAGGAGGAGAGAGGAGGAGAGAGGAGGAGAGAGGAGGAGAGAGGAGGAGAGGCAAGGGAGGGGGACAAGGGCAGAGAAGGTCACGCACGATGAACCTCTTAGAAAATTCTGGGTGGCAAATTGAGGGGGAGGAGAGGGAGGAGAGGTCAGGAGGGACAGTAGAGAGGAGAGGAGGACAGCAAGCACAGGGGAAGGGATACGGGGTTAGGGAGGAAAGTGGGTCCACCTGGCGTCCCAACTGGAAGTGTGGAGACGGTCGAGGAGGACAGGTCGAGCTGACGTAGTGCAAAGTTCATCGTGTCAGCGATGATCAGTGAGTTGCCGACTTTCAGCATGGCAGTGGGCATGTTGAAACATGCAGACGCGGCAGGGACGGCGACGTCGGAGGGCAGGCGGCCGCTCTGGCAGCCGGCATCTAGGAGGATGGCACCTGACTGGCGGTCGAACTTGAGTATCCTGTTCTGGCCCGGGAGGGAGTAGTAGAGCTCGGAGTCCGGAATCAGCTTGCCGGGCGCCGGTCCGCCGAAGGAGAGCCATGCTAGAGGGTTCCACAGCACTGCATCCTTTGAAACCTTCTGGAACTTGCACGCCAAGTTGTCGCAGGCCCTCAGGTCGTCGTTGGGCGGGCAGGCAGCCTGTCCCTCCCTCGGGGAGTACGTCTCAGGCCCGCAGGGCTGGCAGGTCCCGTTGCCAGGGAGCTGCTTGCTAGTGCCAGGAGGGCATGGGGAGCAGGAGGAGGTGAGGGAGGTGATGATGCCGGTGAAGCCCGGGATGCAGGTGCAGTTGAGGATGGAGGTGCTGCCGGTTGGGGAGCTGGAGTTGCCCGGGCAGTTGGTGCAGCCGAGGCGCTCCAGGTAAGTCCCAGCAGGGCAGGAGAGGTTCCCAGCAGAGGCAGGGCGGAAGCTGTAGGAAGGGAGGAGCGGGCTGATCTGGTCGATGACCTCTCCCTCCACTCTGCGCGTCTGCAGAGCGAAGGGCTCGAGCACGGTCATGTTGGCGACGCTCTTGAGGCCCAGAAGGGAGAAGGAGAGCAGCTGACCGTAGCTCACTTCCGGCCCCTGCCGGGTGATGACGATGCTCCTCCCCTCCGCCTGCAGCGTGAAGTCGCCGAGCAAGTCGCTCGTCTGCACGGTGAGGTAGTCCTCGAGGACGAACTGAGAGCTGACTGTGAGGTTCAGTATGGCACTAGCTGGGATCAGGTTCTCCAAGGAGGGCATCAGCTGGACGACAGCAGAAGCCTGCACGCGCTGGTCGAGGATGCTGACGTTGGCGGAGAGGCTGCCGGGTAGGAGGAGGAGGCCAGGGACGTCGAAAACCTCCGCAACAAGGCCGGAGGAGGAGAGGACGCGGAGCTCGAACGAGGTCCGGCCCGACCAGTGGCGGCACGTCAAGTTTGACAGGCTGAAGCTGAAGAGAGACCCGGCAGTAACGCTGACCGGGGCCGACAGGTTGAGCTGCACCTGATCAGCTGGGAGGGAGCCCCAGCTGAGCGCAAAGGGGCCAGAGTAGCTGGAGATGATGCCTCCCTCCAGCACCTTGAGGGTGTCGTTGACGGGGCTGACTCGAGATAGGTCAAAGTCGACGAACTTGACAACTAGGGTGTCAAACTGGTTCACGTTGGATGGGAGGGAGAACTCAACCACGCAGCCCACGAGGGACCCAGCTGTTGCCTCCTGGATGTCCTGAACCGAAGGCTCGAAGAACGTGAGGGAGACGTTCTGGACCGACAGCACTCGGACTATGTCGGTGGAGTTGACAGCCGGCAATCCGAGGCCGAGGAGGTTCCTGGCGGAGATGCGGAGGAGGAGGGGGAGCCTGGTCTGCAGCTGGCTGGTGTCGAAGGTGAGGTGGAGGGTGGTGTTGCTGACCTCCTCCTGCGCTATCAGCTGGGAGAAGGAGGGGTCCTGAGAGACCTTCACAAGATAGTCCTTGATGAAGGCTACGTCGGGCCCTCCCCCTCCCGTATCCTCCGGCAGCGTCCACGAGGCTGTCAGGGCCCAAGAGAACTTGTTCTCCAGCAGCTCTCCGAGCAAGCTCACCTGCTGTACCCGAGGAGCGGAAGGGAGGCCGACGAGGAGCCTAGTGACGGGGCTGCTGTAGCTCCCGTAGCCCGCGGCGTTCCTCGCTCTTACTCTGAAGGTATAGTTGCAGCCCTTGGTCACAGCAGGCAGGATGAAGCCCGTTGCTCCCTGTGCTGCCTCCCCTGTCACGTTGTCGCATCCTCCTTCTTCCGACGTTGCGAGGATGAAGTAGCTCAGGCTGACCTCCACCCCGTCGAGCCCATCATCTGCAGGTGCTGAGAAGTTTACAGCCACGACCAGGGAGGAGCCTGCGTCGCTGAGGACGGTGACGTTGCGGATGAACGGGGAGCTGGGCAGGCGCAGCGGCGTGATGGGGTCAGAGAGGGAGGAGAAGTTCCCAGCTCCCACTGGGTTGACAGCTCGGACTTGGACTCGAAGGGCTACCCCTGCCTCCAGGCCGTCCAGCAGAGTATTCGTCGTGTAGGCAACAGCCGAGGGCCAGCTGGCGTTAGAGAACTGAAGTTCGTATCTGGAGCAAGATGTCGTCAGTGGCAGCCTTCATCGGAGGGAGAGGGAGTGGATGGGCAGGGAGAGAGGGGAAGAGGCGGGAGGAGGTAGGGAGAGAGAGAAGGAGGATGAGGGGGATGAGAATGCAAGAAACTGACCTTATAACGAAATTCTCGTTGTTTGTGAATCCAGCTCCAGTGTCGGTCGGCTGCGTCCAAATCACTCGAACTGCTCTGTCTCCTTCAAGCACCAACGACGGAGTTGAAGGGACCTGGGGGACGCGCTCAGTGACGGAGAGACTTGGGAGGAGGGAGAAGGGAGGAGGGAGGGGGGAGGGGGGAGGGGAAGATATGACAGGAAAGGGAGCAGGAATGAGGCAGGAGGAGGGACGAAGGAAGGGAGGAGACAGGAGAGGTGAGGAAGGAGGAAGGAAAGTGACAACGAAAAGGAGGAGGGAGATTGCTACCCCTGGGAGGTCGATGACCGTCACGTTGAGCTCAGTGGACCATGTGCCATATTGCTCAGCAAGATTCTGCCGCACCCCAGTGTCAGCAGCGACGAGCGAGCACGTGCCTGCTACCTTTCCCCGCACAGCAAAGTGAACAATGTCTCCCTTCCTCGCGTCTTGGACGTAGAAGGTGTTGTTCTGCAAGCCCCCGGACAGGTTGAGGAGACCAACGCCCTGTTGGGTCGATGAGCAGGCGGGCAGAGAGAAGAACTGGAGAAGAAGGAGCAAAGGAGCAGAAGAGGATGGAAATGGAGGAGGGACGAGGAGGATGGAAATGGAGCAGGGACGAGGAGGATGGAAATGGAGCAGGGACGAGGAGGATGGAAATGGAGGAGGGACGAGGAGGGAGGAGGGAGGGGCAGGCAAGTGCACAAGGACATGAGAGGCAAACCGAGCTCAATGCGAGGGGCAGGGTGGTGGAGTAGTAGATCTGATAGAAGAAGCTCTGAGCAACTAAGTCAGAGAGCTCGACTCCTGGTCCGTAGCCCAAGTCAAGGGGAGCCTGAGAGGAGGAAGACGTCAGTTCAGTCTCCTCCCCTTCCATCGCACAGTACCTGCCAAGAGAAATTCACTGTCAAAGGAACTCGATACTGCATCGTCAGCCCCGGCGCCGAGGGAGGGACGAGCAGGCGGTAGGAGGCGGAGGAAAAGTTCCCGAAGCCGACGGGGTTCCGTGCTCTTGGGGGAGAATGGATCAGATCCTGTGGGGAGGGGCGCGAGCATGCTCGTACCTTGCCCGCACGTAGTACATCGTCCCTTCCTCCAGGTCAGCCGCGGTCCACAGCAGCGCTCCAGCGTCGTATGACGTGGGGAGCGCCTCGGAGAAGTTGTCGTAGAGGCTGACGTTGACCTCATACTGACAGCAAGGGTCAGCGTCTAGAAGCCGAAAAGGAGGGGGAGGAGCTGGCAGACCTCTAGGATCGGGATGTTGGTACTCAAGTCATCCCCAGTGTCGCTCGGAACCTGCCCAGCACCTCAGGACGCGGACCCAGTCACGTGAGGCAAGTCACGTGAGCTTTCACGGCCAGGTACGCCGACCCTCCCGTCCTCCCGCTGGCGAAGTCGAAGAGCACGGGGGAGGGAACGTCGATGACTCGCAGGCCGTTGCTGAGTGGACTCCAAAGGCCCGGGGATACCAGCGTCACGTTCTTGGCTACCCGCAAGCGCACAAACATCAGCGTTCCTTTGAGGTCAGGAAACGCGTAGCTCTTCTGCCCGCTCCCATCGTCCACGAAGCTCTCGTTGAGAACCAGGACTGGCGCCGACTTGATCCCTGCCGTCTCGTTCCCTGAAGTCTCGTTCCCTACCGTCTTCATGGCATACCACTCGATGTCGTAGATGACCTCCGGGACGTTGTAGAGCTCGGAGTCAGGAGGGAGCACGTAGTGGACAACGAGGTGGAACGGTATGCTCCAGGTCAGGCTGACGTTTTCCGGCGCATGAGGAGTGTTCAGCGCTTGGATCGGGTTCGGGACGAAGAAGGTCGTGTCGCCCCAAATCTCACCAGAGTACACTCCGTTGATGGCGAAGGTGTAGTTCACATCTTCGCGGAACGCGTTGAGAGGTTGACTGCTGGAGATGGGGACAAACTCTGATCCATCGATCCGCACACTCGTCAAGTTGTTACGGACATGGTACTTGTACTGGACTGCGTCTTGGAAACTGTCAACAAACTCGAGCGTGATCAAGTAACTGCACGATAAAGTCAAGGGCAAGATCAGATCATGTCAGCAGCGCTCGAGCAAGCTCACTAGTCAAGCTCGTCGACTCGCTCTGGTTGCGTCCAATCCAGGGTGAAGAGGAGAGGTCCTGAGATACGAACAGAAGCTGTCTGAATCTGTCGGGACTGGGAGAAGTCAATGTCTAGGGCATCCGTCGATGCAAGGAAGACTGGAGCCATGTCAGCTCAAGCGAGCATCACAGGCATAAAGTACCTTCAAGGAGGATGAAGAGGAGAGTTTTCAGGCTTTGGATGTATCGATCGTGAGTCATACTGCTCCTATGCTTCTACTTCCTACTTACTGCTCAGCCCGACAACCATGTCTTCAATCCGATTCATCGCTGTGTCACTCCATGGCAGCGATGTTCACTCAACCTGTCTTCTTTCCTGCTAGCTCCTTCCCTCTCCTCCGCTCTGCACCGCTCTCCTCTCAACTCTCTCCTCATCTTCCTTCTCCGTCCATGCCAAGCGTCATTCCCCTACCCCAATATTTCTTGGCGCGCAATGCAAGAACTATCACCGTCTACCTTCTGGAACCATCGGGCTTAAAAGTATGGTAGGGTACATAACCCCACCCCACTGGGTTTCACTTGTCAATCACATTTCACCCGAAGAGCTCGCCTCAGATTCGTAACCCCGTTTCACTGAGTCACAGGGGGGGCCAACTCACTGAGTCAGTTGCGAGCCCATAGGCGAGGCCCGCAAGCAACTAGCCGGTCAGCGGCCTCCGTGGGTGCCAGAACATCGAGTCAAGCCTCAGTCAGTGGTCGGAGGCTCGGCCCGGGAGACACACGGTCACACCGTTGCTGCAGATCGTGACTGGCCGCTGACGTGGACTCCGACCCAGGGGCCCCCGCGAGCTTCCTAAACTTGAAGGGCCGATGGTTTTGTTTCGCCCCATACAGAGATGAGGCAAGTCATGTTCATGGTTATTTATTGAGTTGGCTGAGACCTGAGTGACTTCTCGGCGATGGGCTGCAGCAGGTGGAGCAGCGATGAGATCATTGCCCGCATATCTTTCAGCTCGTTCTCCATGGAGGTCCTGGGCGGCAAAGTCAGCTCAGCATGATGCTCGCAACCAGCTGAGAGCCTCCTCCCTTACATTCTCTTCTCCAGGTTGGTGAAGTTCGCCATACTCGGGTAGTCATCCATCTCACTTGTGATCTCGCTGGCGGCGTGCAAGCTGCTGTCATTCTGCACGCCCAGATCCTTGTCGACATTTTGATTCGCATCAGCTTCCATGGCAGTCTGCTCAGCTCCACTCTCAACTGTCGTCTCACGCTCGAGCTCCCCACACACCTGCTGGGATTCTCGTGGGCCCCACTTAGACCGGGAGTGCCTTGACTTCCTCTCTGCATACACCTCCAAGAACCCCGACCCGAGGATACCTGCCCACCTTGGCATCACGCGAAATCATCGGGAGAGGAAATGATCAACTGACCGGCAGGCATCGCAAACAAGCCAACTCCGAGCACGGACGCTAACGAGCCCAGCATCTACTTACTGCAGTGAGAACAGGGAGAAGAAGGCTTTTCTGCACTGGCACCTTCCCCATCCAAGTGATCGGAACGACGTCACCGTAGCCGACGGTAGAGAGGCAGGAGATACACCTGAGCATAACCCTCACCTACTACAAACGAACTAGCCCGTCGCTAGCTTACCACCAGAGTGCGTTGGGGATGTTTGGAAACATCTCAGGGTTGGCGTCTCCTTCCAGCACGTACCTGCAGCACCATCATTCTTGGATGGAGAGCCTTCGGTGAGGCAAGAGAGCGCACATAAAACTTCCGATGAGGAGGATGAGAATCATGGACCCGAAGAAAGTCACCATTAGCTCCTCTTGCTTCTTGCTCGCCACCTGGACGGCGCGTGAGGGGAGAAGTTGTCAGCTTTTCGTGCAGGAAAGACGCAGTCAACCTCGATCAGGATGTGCATGGCTTTCAAGGGCCGCTTCCACCGGAAGACGGTGATGATTCGGAGGAGACGTATCGTTCGAAAGACGTAGGAGGAGCCTGCGCAAGACGTGAGGAAGGCTCGGCGAGAGCGGTTCAGCTCAGCAGGGAGGGATCGAGAACCGTGCGTGTCGTGCTCAGAGACGAGGATATCGATGTAGAAAGGTATGAGGGAGAACAAGTCTATCAGAGACATCGGCTGCCGCATCCACTTCACCCTCCCAAACACCGGGCTCCTGAACTGCATCACCACCTTCAGCCCAGCAGTACACGAGGAGGATCAACGGCTTACCCGCACGTCCTCTACACAACTCCATACACGCAGGACGTACTCGGTCGTGAAGATCACAAGAAGTACCACCAAGGTCCTGTCCCTGAACACTCCCCAGCTCAGTGCGAACTGGCAGACGTCGTCCACCGCAGTGTCCTACGGAGCTGGTCAACGGAAGAGAAACAGAGTCTTCACCGCCCGATACGTTCTCATGAGCTTTGCAGATCTCCTTGCTGCATTTTCCCCGGTGCTTGCAGCAATCTCTCCAGCAATGGCTCTCGGGGTGCGTGACCTGCGGAAGCAGCGTCACGAGCTCTCCTGCATGGCAAGAGTTCCTGGCCTCCAGGTTGTTGAAGGAGTCAACGATGGATATCATCAGGCATGACATGATGCAGAGCAGCAGGAAGCCCTCGAGGATCTGCCCCAGCCTCCTCAGGTACGGTCGTCTGCCAAGGACAGTCAGAGTCTAGGAGGTCAGAAGAAACGTGGCATGAGGCGCTAGAGGAGGTGGGAGACTTACATGTAGAGCTCCTCGTCCTCCTTCACAAAGATCGTCTCCCACACAATCTCCCTCAGGAACTTGATCGGTCTCTTCGGACGGATGACCTCCATCTGTTCCATGTCGACATTCCTGTTATCTAGCACCAGTGGCTCTCTGAAGTTTGTTTCCTGCAGATCTGTCAACACCATGCATCACGCTCTCAATCGGCGCACCCTGGGAGCATGATTCGATGCCATGTGAACTGCGAGCAAGCTCGTGCTGAGGGAGAGCTCTTGGATGGTCAGTTGGGATCAAGCGTCAGGGCATGGAGGAAGCTCGGGATACAGTCAGCAAGGGAGGGAGGGAGGGAGGGAGGGAGGGAGCGCGGTGGCGTAGGTCTGAAGGGAACAGGAACAGTTCGGGGAAGATATGGGGCAGGGAAGCAGGAATGCAGGGGTCCTTTCATGATAGGGTGGGGTAGTACACAAGGTGCTGTTTTGAAGTAAAAAAGCAGGGTAGTATGGTACACAAAATATTTGAGGTGGGGGTAGGGTTCACAGAAACTGGGGGTTGACTTGCGACTCCCCATGGCAGGTCAAGGTGAGTGGAGGGAGGGCCAGGGACAAGGAGGAGAGGAGGAGGAGAGGAGGAGAGACAAGAATGCATTCATCAACGAGCATGCGATCTGTGTGGTTGGCGCCTTGCATTGAGGACGCTCGGGGTGCTCATGGTATGAGTGGAGAGAGCGTGCGCACGAGGGTTTGGTGATGGTGGGAGCGAATCATACGTATCAGACATCATGATTCTAGCTCGTGCCTTACTGATGGTTCTTGATGACTGACTCGTAGGATTTCTCAGGAAATCGGAGGGGAGGACAGCATCTTGTTGAAGTACCTGTAGGGAAGGACGTCCTTCACGTATGGGAGAAGTGGAAGGAGGAGGAGCATGTTTGGCCTGCGAGCCGAATCTTCGCAGATTATCTCATCAGTCACCCGACCTCTCTCCCCAACAACGCCAAGGTCGTCGAGGTTGGGGCGGGGACGGGAGTTTTGTCCATGGGAATCGCTATGGGAGTGGGAGGTGTCGGGTCGGTTACAGCCACCGACGGCAGCAGGGACGCGCTGAAGAACCTGAGGAAGAACGTCGTGCAGAACGGTCTCTCCTCCAAGATCGATGTGAAGCACCTCGAGTGGAGAGACGACCTTCCGTCCTGGATGGGCGGGGTGGACGTGATTGTGGGCTCGGACGTGGTATACGGGGATACCACGCACTCCACGTCCTACTTCTTCCTGTCGCGGATGGTGGCAGAGGTTCTTGGGAGAGGTCAGGGGAAGCAGGAGGAAGGCATGGGGATGAGTGCTGCAAAGGCGATGTTCATGCTGCAGGTGCGGGGGAAGGACTATGAAGCTTCGAGTGTGAACAAGTTTGTGGAGGACCTGGAGAGGAGGGGACTGCATGTGGAATTCCTCGAGATCCCTGAGGGGGTCGACAACATGCAAGAGAAAATGTGAGCCTGCGTACGTGTGCGATTGTCTCCTGTACATGTATGAAAGAGGGGATGATGGCGATGTGGTGATGTGGGTGTGGTGGAGGTGGAGGAAGTGAAGAGGTGGAGGGGTCTGAGAGCGAACGAATTTGTGTTGGTGATGACGAAGGCAGTAATCATGGAACACAGGGTTTTGATCGATATTTCGAGGACAGATAGGGCAGTTGACGACAAGTCTCTTGTCTTCAACTCGAGAGGAGGGGTCGGCGAGTCGGGGGGGGAGCAGCCTGATGGGACAGGCGTCGATGTAGACGCTGAGATCGTACAATGGCTGTCGTCTTGTGTTGATTGAAGAGGGGGGGGGTGTTGTGACTTTGCAACATTTACATTACACGACATTTTGACATACCTATGACATGAACCATTATGGAGAAGAAGCCTTGATGACAAGAGCGAACTCTCTCCCTCTCTCTTCTCTCATTCGTTGAACACCATTCTCTGGATGTCCTGTGGAAGACAGTCAGCAACGATGATGCAGACAGCGAGCGAGTTCAACATCGATAGATTGAATGTTGGCGTTGTTGTCGACTGGAGACTTGTACTTGTCCGGATCAGCGGATGTCGCATCTGACCATGGCCACCGTCATGAGCACAAGGCTGGAGGGAGGGGAGAAGCAGGTGGAAGAGAGTAAGGGACGGAGAGAGGTAGGGAGGAGGGAAAGACGGAGCAGAAACGGAGCAGGGAAAATAGGAGAGAGACAACCAAGGACAAGGTAGATGAAGGAGCGGAGGAGAGCATGTAAGGGACATATGATAGTGAAGGCGGAAGGAGGATGGAGGAGGAGGAGGAGGGACAGAGAAACGAAGGAGAAGCTTGAAGGCAGGAGCAAGGAGTGGTCGACCTGCAAGGGCCTTGTCTGCAGTGTTGTATCCTGCTTCGGTGATAGCGTTCAATTTGTCGATCTTGACCTTCAGTTGCTGCGGGGAAGGGGAGGGTGAGAAACGTGCGCGGAGAGGCTCGAGGTGTCAAACCTTCAACTCGACGTCAACGATCTCTCTCATGGCCTCCAGCTCCTTCTTTGTCATGTTCACGAAGATTTCCACGCGCTGTGCATTTCTCAAGTCAGAAGGAGAAGGCGAGATGAAAGGAGTGGTTGTGCGATGTTGTCAACGAAGTGCAGTTGTTGTGACATGTGCGGATGGGATTGAGACATATTCTTGTGATCGTCTTTGGATTGTGACAATGCTTCAGCGGCATTTGGGCTCAGATTGTGTCGGTTCCTCGTGCTGTGCGCACTCTGCCGATATCTTATCATTCTATGTTGTGACTGTGAATGTGAAGTTGTGTATACGCGGACGTCAAGACTTGGGTATGTGAATGCGAGAATGTGCAGTCCGTGAAAGTGAGAATGTGAATGGGACGGTGATAGTGATGGTGATGGTGATGGTGATGGTGATAATGATGACAATGACTATGATGATGATGGAGATGATGATGGTGATAGTTGTCTTTTCATCTCCTCAACCTGCTCCACTCGTTCAGCTTCCTCCTCCAGTTGCTTCACCAGCTCATCCCGCCGAGTGATGGAGACCTGCAAGACAGTCAGGACTACGCGCAGACGAACGGGCTGGTCGAGCTGCTACTGACCGTCCCATTCTTGAGGCCCTTGACGCTGTCATGGCACGACACGGTCAACGGCCTCCAGACGCTCTCCGTGTAAGGAGATGAGGTGTCGATGATCCTTTCGATGTCCTCGAAGTTGAAGAGGTCTTGCACGCGTGCAGGTTTCTTGCTCCGAGCCCCTCCTGCCTCCTCCTGCTGCAGCAGCAGCTGCTGCTCCCCCCTCCTCCGGACGTCGACGGATGTACTTTCAGGCCTCATGATCTCTCTCCTCTGCACCTTAAGGCGCTGCAACAGGTGCTTCATCACAGTCCGGAGCTGCTCCAGGCTGGAGTGAGAGGAGGAGGTCCTTGCAAGGCGGTCGGGGAGGAGGAGGGCAGAGCCTGACGTGAACTGCCGCGAGTGTCGGCTGCTCCTTGTCGAACTGATGCTCAGCAGCTTCCTCCTAGACGTGTGGGAGACAGCAGGAGGAGGATCATGCGAAATGTCCTCCCCTGCTGCTTCTGCTGCTCTCCCACCTCCTGCTCCTGCTTGTCTGCCTCTTCCTTTCCCTCGAACGTCTATATCTCGTGAAGAATGTTGTTTCTCCCCCATCAGGAAGTCGTACACGTCTAGGTTGTACCAGTCTGATCCTGCCTTGCCCCCTTCACCTCCTCCTGCTCCCCCCTCTCCGCTTCCTCCTCCTGCTCCTCCTTTCTGCAACGCTCGAGACTTCAACTTGCTCCCTGCTTGCTTCCTCTTCCCTAACAAGAAGTTTTCAACGTCATCCAGCGGGTCCCATGAGCCTCCAGCGTCTCCCTCAACCTTGACGCTTGCCGGGGGAGGAGGAGAAGGTGCAGATACTTCGACTGTATCTGCCCCCTCCTCCTCTGGCAGATAGGGTTCAGCCGCATACAGAGCGTTGGCGCAGGCTTCCATCCTGTCCATCTCCTCCTCATCCACCTCCTGCATCCTCGTGAACTTCCTCACGATCTGCTCGTCCACCGACTGCATGAGCTTCAGATGGGACTTAGCGATGCCGAGCAAGCGCTGGGCGTTGCCTTCGGCAGAGGACGACGAGCCTTCGGCCTCCTTCGCCTCCTTCACCCGCTCATGGCAGTAGGTCTCGAAGCCCAGCCGGCAGGGGAGGCGAGTCTTGGTGGCGTGATACTCGAAGTCTGTCAGGTTGAAGAGGTCGTTCATGTGGAGCACTAGAGTTCCCATCCCCCTCGTCGCCCTCCTCGCCCGCCGAAGCAGCTTCTCCATCTCCTCCACGTACTTCCTCAGCCGCGTCATCGGCACCTCTGGCCTCCGCAGAACAGGAGACGGCAGGGGGACGCACACCCTCCTCTCCTCGAACTCTCCGTCCTTCATACACATGGGCACGTGCGTTCCATTGCCTCCTAGCGTGAAGTTCTCCTGACAGCGGAGGAATGCCAGGTCTCCCTCCACAGGCACGTCCAGCCCGGGCCGGAGGAAGAAAGTAACGACGCCATGGGGAGGAGGGTCGAACTTGCTGCAAGATCGCAGGCAGCTCTTGGCAGGAGAGAAGGAGCCGTTGGGCATGCAGGACGGGTGCAGACTCCCATCTCCCACAGGGAGGTACCCCTCCTCGCACCTCATCACGACCTCCTCTCCCTGAAGGAACGACGCCGTCCTGTTCGTCCAAGAGAGCTCCGAGCTCCATCCTCTCTCCACCAATGAGTCGTTGACCATGCTGGCCGGCGACGGGCGGTCAAGCACCAGGGAGTGAGGGGGAGCAGCGAACGATCCGCAGACGCGCATACAGGATGCAGCACGGGTGAATGTCCCATCCTGCTGGCACCAGGGGTGGGTACTCCCCGGCCCCACAGGGACGTAATCCTGATTGCATTCGATGGTGACGTGCTGCGATCCTCTTCCAAGGTGCACCCGACGCTCATTGGGAGCGACTGCCGCATGCTCCACCTCCGGATGAACCCCGCAGCTCCGAGCACAACCACGAGCAGGGGAGAAGGTGAGGTTGGAGAAGCAGACCGGAAACTCTCCTCCTCCTCCCCACGGCACGAACCCGTCCCTGCAGTGGATGCTGACGTTGTCTCCTACCCGCACGTACCCAGGAGGAGAGGCGAAGCTGTTGGGGGGAGGAGAGATGGGAGGGCACCAGGGACCATCGCACGAGACCTCCGGCCAGAATGATCGGTTGGGATAGCAGCGAATGCTCCTGCTCCTCTTCCCGTCCTCCCCAGCCACCAGGTACCCCCGGTCGCAAGTCACCTCCACAGTCTCTCCACTCCTCACCATGTCATGCCGCGAGACAGTCGCGTGCTCGGGCTGAGCTGGAGGGTCACACCATGGCTCGCACCTGAGCTGGGGACGAAACCTTCCGTCGGGGAAGCAGGTCTCCTCTCCCCAGCCAGCTGGCCCGGAGCTGGAGGAGACGAAGTATCCCTCCTCGCACGAGACGTTCACGCTTGCCCCCGCCAGCACCCGAGCTGAGGGGGAGACGGAGGCGTGAGGGTGAGGAGCCGGCAGCGAGCAGAAGGGGCCAGCACAGGAGAGCTTGGGCTGAAAGCGGCGATCCTGCTGACAGACTGCAACCCCTCCTCTAGAGCCGCAGCTGCTCAGCTGGACTCCATCCCAGCAGGTCAGGGGTTCACCAGTGAGCGGCTCGACTCTGGGTCGGATGAAGAAGTTCTCGTCGCACAGGATCGTCACGCTCTTGTTCACCTCCACTGCCGTCGATGGCGAGACCCTCCCATGTGCCACCCGCGAGTGAGCTGAGCAGCTTTCTCCTCCTCCTCCTCCTCCTCCTCCTCCTCCTCCTCCTCCGCCACCCCTCCTCCGCCACCTCCTCCTCCTCCTCCGCCGCCGCCGCCTCCTCCTCCTCCGCCGCCTCCACCACCTCCTCCGCCACAAGGATTGTTCTTCATCAGCCCCTCAGAGTTCAGTAGGTCTGCAAATTTCCGAAGATCTTCACCGCATCCTCCCCCTGCTCCTGCACCTGCTCCTGCACCTGCTCCTGCTCCTGCTGAGCTCCCAACAGACGCAGCTCCTGTTGACACGTCATCTCCAAGTAAGGCAAACCATCCTCGCTTACCCGAGCCGGCCGCAGAGGAAGGCTCCAACTTTTTCAGGGGAAGGACGCCTCCGTAGGGGGAGCCTCCTCCCACTCCACTCCCCGAAAGTCCCTGCAGGCCAGCAAGTCATACACTGACCTAGGTGAGAACGGTGGGGAGCGACACTCACGCTCTTGGGAGGGATGTAGAGCCCCTCGTCATTGAAAGCTTCAGCAAGCGCGTCCTCGACTGCTGCCCCTCGTCCTGCCACAGACGCTGGACATTCAAAAGTTAAGGTGAAGCTACAGATCTCATCGACAATTCACTCACATGCTGAGCCTCCTGCCCCTTCTGCTCCCTCCGCCCCTTCCGCTCCCTCGCTTCCTGCCATCCCGTCCTTTCCGTGTACCCCGCTTCCTCCCTGCCCTGAAGCTCCGATCCCGAGTCTTGCAAGATTGCCGTCGAGCGCCTGGGCAATTTGACTGGCAGCCCGCATGGCAGACTCGGCTGACTTTCCTTTCCCTGTACAGATACTCTCACACGCTAGATGCATTTCAACACGCATCTCTCACCAAACAGAATCTTTGCGTACTCCCCATCTCCTGCTTGACCTCCTTGCCTACCTGCAGCCCCTGCTCCATCCACTCCCTTCACGTATGACTCTACCAGCCCTCTGATCAGGGACATGTCCTGTGCGGAAAACGAATGGTCTCTCCCGACCTTGACAAGCAGAAGCTCAGTTTTCAATCTCATGGACTAGCTGCTCACAGACCTTGCTCTTGAACGAATTCCATCTGCTCTTGATGAGACGTTCCTGCCAACCCCATTCAGAAGTCTTCTGCAGCAAACCAACTCTTCTACCAGGTCTTTGGAGACCGCATCGCTCAAGCCAGCTTCCCCTGCTCCATCCTCTCCTTCCCCTGCTCCATTCCCAGCTTCGCTCGATTCCCCTTCCCCACCCTGGCCGGCTCCCCCAGCCACAGACGTCCCTTCTCTGCCATGACCACCATCCATCGGAGCCAACCCAGGTGCAGCTTGTGACTGCATGCCAGCAGGAAGGGCTGCCATCTGCTTTATCTTCTGAAGATATTCCGAGCTTCCCTCTGGATCAAGAATCTTCACAAGGCCGCTGATCATCTTCGACGCCCAATACTTCTTCAGATTATCTGCTCCAACCCCCTGCCCTCCAGCAGACGACGAGCTGCCAACACCACTTCCACCCACATTCCCAGCTTCGTCTCCTCCGAACCCCCAATCACCCTCCCTTCGCCCATCACCAGCTGCCCCATAAGGTCCCTGACTGGTGCCTCCGCTTCTGCCCGAGGCATCTGCCTTGCCCTCTACCCAAGGTCTTTCTAATCCCATTCCACCACCTCCGCTTGCCTCTCCCGCAGTTTCTCCCTCTCCCTCCCCTCCAGCATTTGAATATCCTCTCCCGTCACTTTGAGAATCAAAAGTGCCGTCAGCAGAGTTTTCTTCAATCCTCATTCTCTCGCTCGTTGCCTCACTCTGCTTGCCTCCCAAGCTTCCCAAGCCACCCCTGCCTGCGCCAACACTGCCTTGGCTCCCGTCTTCCATATCTCCTCCTCCTCCTCCTCCTCCTCCTCCTCCTCCTCCTCCTCCACCACCACCACCACCATCGACTCCACGTCTGTTCATCGGTCCAGTAGGAGCTGCTCCATCCTCCCTAAGTCCCCAACCATCCCTGCCAACATTTCCTCCTCCTCCGCTTCCTCCTCCTCCTCCGCTTCCTCCTCGTCCTCCTCCTCTGCCGCCGCCGCCGCCGCCGCCGCCGCTTCCTCCTCCTCCTGCTTCTCCTCCTGCTTCTCCTCCTCCGCCACTGTCACTGCCTCCTCCTTGACCTCCCTCTCCTCCTTCTCCATACCCTACCTCGCCCCCTCTGACTCCTGTTGCACTCTTGGAGTCAGCGATATGAATTTGCCGCTTTGCAAACTGATATCCTCCTTGTGCCATTTGGCGTGCTATCTCCGCATCTGGCAATTCCGCTCCGCTGTCAGATACTGGCAGAGAAGCTGCCGCCGCTGCCGCATCCTCTTGGTCCTGGTCGCTCACTCGGAGTCTTGACTGCAGGGAGCGCTTGTCAAACCCTGGCACTGCGAAGAAATGGTCAACAGTGCTCTCATCCTCGCTCAGCTTCAGCTCTCCTGGCGGCCCAGCCTGATCATCTTGCTGAGTGAGAAGGAGAAGGACTGTAGCTGCCCCGAGGACCAGCAGGCTCAGAGCCCCTCCCCACGCGCGCACCGGCACCGCCATTTCCCTTCAAGGCTTGTCAAGCCATTCAACTGTACTGACCGCAAAAAGACTATTTTGGGACTGACCGTTACAAAACGGTTGCCGGCCGGGCGGGTCTTCGGAACCCGGCAACGCCCGGCCCGGCCCGGCCGGGCCGGCGGCCGGCACTGATCCGGCGAGTCACTACCGTACTGAGAGCACAGTGATGGACTCTTGCAGGACTCAGTGATGCATTTCGCTACGGTGGCTGGCGGATCGCTCGGCGAACAACTTGGGGGAACTTGTGACGGCAGCGCTGAGATGGCCTCTCGCCCCGGGCCTGAGTCGGACCATGACGGTCGCAAGACTTCGAGTTCGACGGTGGCCACACTCCCGGCCGGCGACATCGCTGTACGTGAACTTCGAAAGGTATCAGTTAATGCCGGGTTGGGGTACAGCCGTGACCGCAAGTTGGCAGGATGGGCCCGGCCCGTCAAGTTGGTTCTCGCTGTCGGAGTTTTCCGAGTCCGATTTGAAAAGTTTGAGTAACCTGAGGAAGCCGGGGCATCACGGCGTGACTGAGAGCCTTTCCGAGCCCAACTTCCGGGATGCTCAGGCCCGCGGGGCTTGCGGACGGATCACCCGTGACCCGGATGACTCAGCCTGGCACGGGAGGCCCTACCGTAGTCACTGAGGCTCACTGCCGCTATGACCCCCCAGGCTGGCTAGGGCTTTGGACTCCGCCGGGGCGGGCCGCGTGTTCGACGAGCGGTGACATCGGATGATTAGTGACCAAATCCGATCAGAATCTCCTTATCCCCCTCGAAACGTCCCATGTTGGAAATGAAGCAGCTACAGCACGGACCCCATTACTTCTTGCGCCCTTTTGTGAGATATGGTTCCCGTGATAACAGGTGCAACCCGAACAACAATCTTTTCAAACACAAGGTTGGCCGCCCCATTCAAACTTCTAATTACCGTGGTCAACGTGACCATCGCCTGCGCTCACTCCCTCCTCCCTGCACATGTCCCACCCTCTCCCTGATCCTGGTCCACATGGCATGCCCATTGCTGACTCGCTCCAGCCTGCTGCTCCCCGCAAGGCCCCAGAGACGGTCGTCATTCACTCCAGGACCAAGAGCGGGCTCATCCGCAGAGACAAGGCTGTCACGGTGAGTCTGGAGCGGCTCAAGGGTCTCTTCGGCTCGAGCCAGGAAAGCGCCGCACAGTCGCTGGTACGTGATGCCGGTCGCAGGAGCGCTGCTGACGCTGACGGGCATGCGTGTAGGGGGTGTCGCTGACGAGCTTCAAAGGCGCCTGCAGGAAGCTTGGCCTTGACCGATGGCCTTACACGAGGGGCAAGCAGCGGCCTCCAAACAGCCCCCCGCGCAGCTCGACTGCCTCGCCCATAGTAAGCGACGGCCCTGCTGCACGTGTAGACACACACGACGCGGGAGCCGACGAGCAAGCGGAGGATGCCGAGGCCTCCATGCCGTCTCACGGCTTGACGACCTGCTCATACGACTTGACGACCTTGCTCGAGGGCAGCCATCTCATGACGGGGTCCAGGAGATCGACGGGAGAGCAGAGCGCCGGAGCAACCAGGCAGGCTGAGGAGGCGGGAGGGACAGAAGGCTTGTCAGCTTTAGATCTTGAGTGGATACAGGAGTATATGGCGGCCGACATGGATTGCGAGGAGGGAGCAATCTGATAGTAGAAAAACGTCTTCTCGTCGCAGCTACATGAGATGGAGAGCTTGGGGAAGATAGAAGAGAGGTACTTTTGCGCATGTTAGAGTATTTCCTGTACAGAAGGCTAGGAAAATGATGATGACAGATGGCAAGATATCAAACAAGATTGATACTTTGATGTTAGAGTGTGTATTGTACATCCAATGTGGAAACTCGAGCAATAATACATTCATTTGGTCAGACTGTGAGATTGAAAAATGCTGCATGAAACTTCACTGCATTGTTCAAATACACCAGACTCTTTCTAGCTTTGAAATGTTGAGCCAGAAACAGCTCTGAGGCGTGCACATTTCCTCCTCTGTTACGCGCAACTATTCCATGGAAAGACTGCTTAAGTATCCATTTACTTTGACGCTATCGCATACGTCTTTATGATGATACACCTGTAATCTAACATGCGCAAAAGTACCTCTCTTCTATCTTCCCCAAGCTCTCCATCTCATGTAGCTGCGACGAGAAGACGTTTTTCTACTATCAGATTGCTCCCTCCTCGCAATCCATGTCGGCCGCCATATACTCCTGTATCCACTCAAGATCTAAAGCTGACAAGCCTTCTGTCCCTCCCGCCTCCTCAGCCTGCCTGGTTGCTCCGGCGCTCTGCTCTCCCGTCGATCTCCTGGACCCTGTCATGAGATGGCTGCCCTCGAGCAAGGTCGTCAAGTCGTATGAGCAGGTCGTCAAGCCGTGAGACGGCATGGAGGCCTCGGCATCCTCCGCTTGCTCGTCGGCTCCCGCGTCGTGTGTGTCTACACGTGCAGCAGGGCCGTCGCTTACTATGGGCGAGGCAGTCGAGCTGCGCGGGGGGCTGTTTGGAGGCCGCTGCTTGCCCCTCGTGTAAGGCCATCGGTCAAGGCCAAGCTTCCTGCAGGCGCCTTTGAAGCTCGTCAGCGACACCCCCTACACGAATGCCCGTCAGCGTCAGCAGCGCTCCTGCGACCAGCATCACGTACCAGCGACTGTGCGGCGCTTTCCTGGCTCGAGCCGAAGAGACCCTTGAGCTGCTCCAGACTCACCGTGACAGCCTTGTCTCTGCGGATGAGCCCGCTCTTGGTCCTGGAGTGAATGACGACCGTCTCTGGGGCCTTGCGGGGAGCAGCAGGCTGGAGCGAGTCAGCAATGGGCATGCCATGTGGACCAGGATCAGGGGGAGGGTGGGACATGTGCAGGGAGGAGGGAGTGAGCACAGGCGATGGTCACGAGGGAGCAGCAAGGGGGTAGCAGGGAGATGGAGGAAGGGAAAGATACACTAGCTACTTGCGAAGGGCACCCCTTGACTTTTGTCTCCCTCCGCTGGACATGCGCAGACGTGCGCCTGGACGTGTGTGTAGTAAACAATCGGATATATCTTATTGCTGAAAAGGATAGTTTTCAATAAACGTCTAGTTAATTATCGAAAAGAAGTCATTTCGGACTATACTCCAACGAGGGGGAGGCGTTACCACCACCACCACCAGGACTTGACGACGGTGTTGCTGAAGGAAGGCTTGGCCTGGCAGCATACTCGTGACAAGATAGGAAGAGAAAGTGGGAGAGGAGGAGAGGAGGAGAGGAGGAGAGGAGGAGAGGAGGAGAGGAGGAGAGGAGGAGAGGAGGAGAGGAGGAAGGAGGAGGGCAATCACCTTGATGGCCTCGTACCATGCGAAGATCTTGGGGTACTCCTGTCGGTTCAAACTGTTTGCCGGGGGGGGTATTGTCACTCGCGGACATGCTTAGAGCTCTGTGCTTACCCCAGCCTTGCCTGCTCTGTCATCATACGTTGAAAGAACGGAGCTGAAGCTATATCCGCCAAGGTGAAGTCTCCCCCGAAGATGAAGGGTCCCTGAATCCTTTCCTCCATCCTACGGAGCGCCTCCTGTTGGTGTTTCAAAAACATCAAAGTGCAGATCGGTCTGATCAAGCCATGAAGTTCGTACATTCAGAGAAGTCTTGGATCCGTATCCGTTGATCAAAGCCTTCCCTGATGGGAGGACCTCGCTTCCAAGGAACTTCATCCATGCAGCGACATCGCTCTCATGTCCCTTGGTCCTGATGGAAAGGCACGGGTGAGTGTGAAGGCCCTTCATAGAAGGAAAACGGCAAGCATGCTCACAGGTCGCCAGTCGAGCCCATGTGCTGATCGATGTACTTCAAGATCTCGTCGGATTCAACGACAACCTGCTTCCTGTCACGTCACCAGCGATGAGGACACGAGGGGCCACCTTGTCGCCATGCTTCAAGACTGGGACCTGCCCTTTCGGGTTCATGTCGAGGAACCATCTAGGCTTTCCTCCGCTTCCGTACAGGCTGATTTCCACCAGGTCGTACTTCACCTTCTTCTCCTCTAGAGCAATCCACGCCTCCTCCCTCGTCAGCGACCGGCAGGCTACCATGGCTCCTCACCTTCTGAGCGAACGGGCACATCTTGTTTGTGTATAACGTGACATCGCTCATGGTCGCTTGCGATGCGCCGCGGACCCGGAGTACCAGCTGCTTCTTGTTGTGAAGGAGAGCGGCGGAGAGCGCGGGGGCGAACGCAGCGGTCGTTCCTGCGGAGTGAGGGTCAGCAAGGGAGACAGCATGCTAGGGTATAGAAAGCAGGTGGTATCAGAGCACATAGGAGGAAGAGAGATGAAGACTGGTAGAGGAAGGCAGGGGTGCTGTGCCATAGGTTCGCTGGCGAACGTTCCAGAATGACAGGGGAAGCATTCCAAGGTTTCTCATGACAGAGCTTTCGGCTGCTAGCTATCATGGCGCGCGCTCTCGTACTTGCTGTGACAGTATCCCCCTGCCCGCATGGCTCGGCACAGCTCAAGGAGGACGCGACTACCATGACGTGCGCTAGGAAACGCATGCGCGCCATAATTTCTCCCTCCCTGTCCTTGTCGCCCCTCCTCCCCATCCCTGTAAAACCTAAAAAACAAACAAAAAAGGACTGTGAGGAAACCCTCCCGACTGCCCTGCTCTTTCCCTCCCTCCCCACCGCCTCGCGCGATCCAGCGGGCACACAGAAGCGCTCTCCTAGCTCTCACGTTGTGTCCTCCTCGAGCTCCATCCCCTTGAACTGGCGACGTGCCCTCCATGGGTGTCGCCAGCTTGTCGGCCGTGGAGCAAGAGGTCCTGCTCGCGATCCTTCAGGACCTTCGAGTCTTGCGCCCCATGCATCTCTGCAGGTGAGGAGGAAGCTGAGGGATTCAAGCAGAGAACGAGGAGAGCAAGAAGAGCTAGGAGAGCAAGGATGAGGACAAGTGGATTTTGTGATTGGGTTCCAGGCAAGTTAGCAAGGCATGGATGGCATCGATCGATGTTCGTCGCACGAGTCTGCATATAGCTTCATTGCCGGCATGGAGCGAAGGAGTCGGGTCAGGTTTCGTGAGATTCCTACAGCGACTTCGCAAGCTGGTGCCTCTGTGTTCACTGATGACTCCTCTTCATGCCTGCGGCAGGAGGCCCTCCAATTCAGTCCTTCCTTTTCGTTACGAGACGTGACATTCCAGCCATGTCATGGATGTGAAGTAACGCGAAACTTGCAGCACACAGAGACAGATGCTTGCTACTCCAAGGAGAGCGTGCGAAGCTACAGCAAGTCGCGTGAGATTGTCACTCGGGACTTGCAACTTTGTGAGTTGGATTGTGTCAGAGCATGACGACGACAGGTGGTTGTGCGCTTGTAAGGCTCTACAGGCTGCTCCCGTTGCCTCGGTGACATGGCGCGTGCTACGCTTGCCGTCTCATGCCGGGCCAGGTGAGCTTCTCCGAATGCAGCGTGTCATCGTCGAACCTCCGGCGAGTCCTGGAAGCGATCGCAACATGCAGGTAGGAGCGATGGGATGTCAAGCTGCTGCCATGGCTGACAGCTCCTTTAGAGTACCTGCGCTGACGAGTTTGGACTTCACCGGGTACTGTCTGCATGTCTTTTGAGGTGGCTGTTCTGCTGATGGTTGTTTCAAAGCTGCACGTTCGATCCCGACGGAATCGCGATGCTGACGTCTGCGATGCGGGAAGGGGGAATGCCGTTGCTGCGTTCCCTGTGCCTGGAGAGGTTTGATCACCGTCCATGGCAGGAGGGTGCCGTCTGAATCTAGAGGGCAGGGTGCATATTGGGATGGACCAGTATGTAGGGATGGTAGAGGCGTGTAAATGCGTGGAGGTCTCGATAGTCCTTTTGATCGCAGGACCTGACGTGTCAAGTTCTCAGCTTGAAGAGCTCCACCTCTCACTAGCTGCTGACGACTTCGCGTCTGACCCCCTGTAACTTGCCGTCAAGGCTCCTCGTTCACCTTGTGAAGGGTTCCGGCAGGAGATGGAACGAGGTTCTGGCACGAGTGATCGGGTCGTGCCCTTCCCTAACGAGCCTGCACTTCTCAGAAGTGAGTGCCTGTTGTTGTCCGTCCTGCATGTTTTAGCTCACTTACACTGCAGGAGTCCCTGGAGCAGCCGGCAGCGTATGAGCTCCCACGTGCCATCTCCTCCCTCCATCGCCTTCAGACCCTGAGGGTTCATAACTGCAAGTGCGTCAGCCCAACGGCGGCAGGTCACGGCGACCATGCAGTGACTCTGATAGCGCAGGCGGCTCGAGGAGCTCTCCCACCAGCTCCTGGAGGACCTGAATGGCTGCCCCTCCCTCACGAGTGAGCCTTGCTCCCGTCTCCTCCTCCCCTGCCCTCTGACCTGGCGGCCAAGGCCTCGAGCTCAGACAGAACAACCTTGCCTCCCTCTTCTGCTTCTCCCTCAAGGACCAGCTGCAGTCGGGCTCGGCGTTGAACGTACCTCCCGTCTCTCGAGCTGCGGGGTCGGTGACAGGCCGTGCTAGCTCACCCGCCTCGATCTCAAAAGCAACAAACTGTCCCAGGAGGGCACGCAGGTCCTCATGTCGGCCCTCCAGACCCACTGCCCTGGTCAGTCTTGCCGTCTTGACCCGGAGCTGTAAAGCTCACACTCTGCTACCAGCGAGTCTCCGTGAGTTGAACTTGTCGGAGAATCAGGAACTTAGATCTTTGCCCCTCGTCCTTCTTGTCCTCCTCCTCCTCCTCCTCCTCCTCCTCCTCCTCCTCCTCGTCCATATCCCCAACCTCTATTGCTGTCCTCTGTGCCTTTTCTCTGCATTTCCCCTTCTCGATTTCTTGTCCTTTCGGGCAATTGTTTCCTTCTACTCCAATGTCTTCTCTCTCCTCTCTCCTCTTTCCTCGCTTCTCTCCTCTCTCTCTCTCGTCTCTCCTTTCGTCCCTCTCCCCTCTCCCCTCTCCCTCTCTTCCTTCCGTACGATTCTACTGACTGCTCCATCAGCTGGGTGTCGTCGGCTGTACCCACCTCTCCGAGTTTCTCCTTACCAATCGATCCGTCGAAACGCTTGACATCAGCTCCAACGCCATCGGTCATCCTCCACCTCCTCCGCCTGCTGTCAAACGTTTCATCCTTCAGGGCAACGAGGAGCAAAATCGCTGGCTGAGGCCCTGGTGGGCAACAGCTCGGCGGGGTCCCTTGCCGTCCTCAACGTCTCCAACAACGCGCTCGATCCTCCTGGTCTGTCTTCTCCTCCCCTTCCTGACGCGTATGACCTGCCGGACGCGCAGGCGTGGCTAGCATTGGCAGAGCGTTTGGCTCCTGCCACAGAATTCGAGGTGAAGGAGAGGAGAAGAGTTGATGGAAGACGGAAGGCAGTGGGGGCAGAAGAGGACAAGTCCTGGAGTAGGGGGACATGAAGGAAAGTAGCAGAGAGCGGATAGAAAGAACTGCGGGGAGGAGAGAGGAGAGAGGAGAGAGGAGAGAGGAGAGAGGAGAGAGGAGAGAGGAGAGGGGAGAGAGGAGAGAGGAGAGGAACAAAAAGAGGAAGAAGAAGTGAGGACAAGGGGGAGAGGAGGAAGAGGATTTCTCACCACAGATCCTCAGAGCTGGACATCTCCTTCAACAACGCGTGCTTCCAAGGGGTAGGCGCGGGTGACTGCGATCGCGCCAGCTGTGACGGAGGATCAGGTGTACGCGTTTGGCGAGGGCCTCGGCCGTGGAGAGAAGGAGGAGGAGGCCGCACTCAGCCTGCGCGTGCTAAACGTGTCGCACAATAACATCGGGCGGGGAGAGGAGGAGGAGGTCGCGGACTTCAGCTGGCTCCGGATGCTCCTGAGGGCGTGCAGGTGAGGAGAGGACGATCGCGCTGGGAACCAGCTGACGGTGTGCAAGGAAACTGTCAAGTCTCGACCTATCCTACAACCTCCTGCCTGACGCTGCTGCTGCTGTCATAGCGGACAACATTCGACTGGGTCATCATCGCTGCCTCCCCCTCTCCTTCGTCCCGCACACTTTCACCATCCAGCCCAAGAGTGTTCTCTCTTACAACTACAACTCTCGATCCTTCTCCCTTCCTTTCATGTCATACCGTTGGATTTCCAGTGTGCCTTTTTGCATCCCTCCTGCTCCTGCTCCTGCTCCTGCTCCTGCTCCTGCTCCTGCTCCTGCTCCTGCTCCTGCTCCTGCTCCTGCTCCTGCTCCTGCTCCTGCTCCTGCTCCTGCTCCTGCTCCTGCTCCTGCTCCTGCTCCTGCTCCTGCTCCTGCTCCTGCTCCTGCTCCTGATCCTCCTTCTGCTGCTCCTGCTGCTCCTGCTCCCCTCTTTCCTTTCCTCCCTCGGCTCCCTAACATGTTACGTGAGACAGGAGCTGTCTCTAGCTTGACTCGCATCTTTCTGCGGGGGAATCGACTGAGCATGCGAGGTGAGAGGAGGCAGGTTGGTCTCGTCCTCACCCGCAGCTGTCAGGGACGCACCAGCTCCTGGATGCCTTCCGCAAGAACTTGTAAGAAACAGATGCTTGCTCTTCCCCTCCCTTCCTCTCCTGCTCCTTTTCTTTTTCCTCCTCCCCTCTTCTCCTCCTCCTCCCTCCTTTCTCTCAACCTCGAGCAGGAGACTCTCGTTCCGGTTCCATCAGCTCACTCTGGGAGACAACAACCTTGACATGGACGAGGAGGACAACATAGCGCAGGCCATCTGCGCATACGACGAGGCCATGCAGCATGGTGAAGGAGGATTAAGAGGAGCAGGAGCAGGAGCAGGAGCAGGAGAAGGAGCAGGAGCAGGAGCAGGAGCAGGAGCAGGAGCAGGAGCAGGAGCAGGAGCAGGAGCAGGAGCAGGAGCAGGAGCAGGAGCAGGAGCAGGAGCAGGAGCAGGAGCAGGAGCAGGAGCAGGAGCAGGAGCAGGAGCAGGAGCAGGAGCAGGAGCAGGAGCAGGATGGGGTCTCAGTTGTTCACACATCTCATTCTAGCGGATCATCACAAGAGGTTCTTCGACATATAAGGCCCGTCCAGCTCATACCCCAGCTTCCTGTAGTAGTGCCGGGTCCCCACCCCCGAGATGACCGCGATCTTGGAGGACCCGTGCTCCTCCCTGGCGATCCTCTCCGCCTCCTCCATGAGCAGCGTCCCGTAGCCCTGGTGCTGAAACTTCGCGGGATCCCTCGCATGGACCGGCACTGCCGTCCCGTAGACGTGCAGCTCTCTCACGATGGAGCACTGCCTGTAGCTGGGAGTCAGCTTGGAGAAGCCAGGGACGGGCGGGGATGGATGAAAGTGAGTGATCGGGAGACGAGGAAGCGGGATTATGGGGCTACAGACGAGGAGGGAGGGAGGGAAGGAGGGAGGGAGGGAGGGAGGGAGGGAGGGAGGGAGGTTGAGAGAGAGAGAGGGAGGAGGAGGAGGAGGAGGAGGAGGAGGAGGAGAGTGGGGTGCGAGAGGGATAGAGGTAGGGAGCAACAAGGACTCACCCCTGCGTCAGCTCGGGGCGGAAAGTTCCCTCCTTGGTACACTTCCTGAGTCGCAGGAGGCCGATAAGGATATCCTGGATCGGGTCTTCGTAGGACAGGAAAGTCTCCCACCCGCCGTTGGCCACGTAGTCCCTCCGGATCAGCTCCACCTGCTCAGGCTTGACGTTCTTATGGATCTCCTGGATCCCGACCTCGCGCGTCCTCACGTCCCTGCAGCGCAGCCCGAGCTCCTTCATCCTGTCCAGCGCCAGCTCTCGGAGGTTGCCGTGCTCGACCCCTGAGGAGACGAGGGGCATGGGGATGTCGCGCTGTATGCGGTAGATGCGCGTCCATGGCGGGACCAGCGCTAGGATGTGAGCCACCAGGTCGATGAGCAGCTCGGGCGAGTAGTTCTTGTACCTCCCCGTCCTCCACAGCTCGTACAGCCCGGTGCCGCGGATGACGAGGGTGGGGTAGAGCTTCAGTCCGTCCGTGCGGAACGAGGGGTTCTCAAAGTACTCTCGGAACTGCCGCATGTCTCGCTCGTACCCGACGTTGGGCAAGTCAGGCATCATGTGGGCTACGATCTTGTACCCCGCGTCCTTCCCTAGCTGGAAGCACTGCTCGCACAGTCAGCCCTTCCTCTCGCCCTGCCCATCAACTGTCTGCCTCCCACGTTCTAGCGCGCATGCTCTTCCTTCCTCTGCAGCACCATCCTTGTCCTCTGCTCCTTCCGACCTGCATACCTTCCTGCTTGCTCCTCCTCCTCCTCCTCTTCCTCCTCCTCCTCCTCTCACCTCACACACAGCCTTCACCGTGTGCCCTCTATTGGTGTCCCTCGCCACGTCCTCATAAACGCTCTGCACGCCGATCTCGAGTCGGGTGCACCCGTATGACAGCATCGAGCTCAGGTGGGGCTGAGCTGGGGTCAACAAGCATCGCCCGTTTCTCTCCTCGCTCACCTTGAGGCAGTAGTCTGGACGAGTCTCGATTGTGATGCCAATACACTTGCTGTTGCTCTGCTCAGAGTACTTGATTGCTTCTTCCACCTGGCGGCAGCAGTGAGGGGAGCAAGAGGGGAGGCCCAGGCCATCGCCCCGCACCGAGTTCGACGAGTGGCCGGAGAGCGCATCGTGCAGGTTGCGGATGAAATAGTCTCTGATCGTGCCGAATGGTAAGAGGAAGAGGAGGAAAACAAGAATCAAGACAGACAGACAGACAGGCAACAAGGGAAGAACTGAAGAGGAAGAAAGGACATCTCCTGCAGACCGATAACGGACGGCATCTCGTTACAACCTGTACTCGTTGTCCAGAGACATGAATGTTCCGCCCATCAGGATGAATTCGACCTGTCCCTGCTGCTCAGGTTGACAACAGGAGAGCGATTGTATGACCTTGTCCGTACTATGCCCTAGCTTCTGCAGCTGATCGATCCTGGAGGAGAAGCCATCAAACGTCGGGGAGCCAGCGGGTCAGCAGCACCTGCTCTTTGTCTGCAAGAAGGGATCGTATCTCGCACGAATCGCTCGCATGCTCGTCGGCTCGTACCCCGTGTACGACTGCAGCAGAGACTATCAACACATCGCAGCATCACCTCCCCTCCCACTTCCTACCTGTGTCGAGTACTCGAAGTCAGAGTCTGGACCGCCGGGACAGTAGACGCAGACTCCTCCTAGAGGTACTGAGAGTTCAGACGGAAGCGCAGCAAGCAGGTTCTAGCTGCCTGTCATGGCGATGTGTGGACAGCGGTGAGGTTTTGACATGACAGCCACGACAGCGATGCCCTGAGGAGAACGTCACGAGGAGGCACGAGGAGCAGCAGGCCAGGCTCACAGAGGCTGTTCGGACAGGCTTTGCCTTCAGGAGAGGAACGATCTGCTTCTTGCTCTGCTCGGGAACTCCAGCAATGATCTGAGTGAGCTTCGGGATGCCCTATAACGCAGCGCAACCGAGTCAGGAGACGAGCAAGCATCGCCCCTGCTCTACCTGCATGCCGTTCCTCTTCGCGCACTGCTGCTTCAGCTTCGTGATATTCACAGATTTGCCCGCCTTGTGACATGCCATGAGCTCGCTGATGATGTCGCTGCAACTTGAGTCACAGGACGTTCACACGCTTCTTCCGCTGCTCTCAGGAGTTTCACCTGATTGTGCGAATGAGCGCCTGATGCTGGTCCTGCACTGGCGGCTTCACTCCCTTTGGCCCCTGAGCATGGCAATGCAGATCAGCGAAAGGCTGCGAAACTGAGGAAGCGAAGGGACTGGAGGGCGCAAACGGAGGCTTCACCTTCACCTTCTTGGTCACTTGTATCTCTGTTGAGCAGCGATCAGGCATGTGAGCGAAACAAGTGACACAGGCAACATCACGGAAACATCATCGCACATCTGATCAAGACTTCATAAGCGCGCCTGCCTTTGGGCGGCATAAAACCGTGCGAAGGGATACCAACAAACAGGTACGAAGGGGCAGCAGCAGAGGACGTGTCTTGCGTCCGACCGAGCACGCGGCTGCTCGCAGACAGCATCCTCGCACATCGATCATTCACATGCCATTCCCCTCCCTCTCTTCGCAATCGTGCGCGAGAGCCTACCGCCGTCGTCGGCATCTTCCGATCGCGCCATGGCCCCACCAGCACTTCACATGCAACTCTGGTCTGCCGGTGTGCTGGTTTTGAATGAATTGGGGGATGAGTGGGGATGAGGGGCAGGATGATGGGGGTGAGGGGGATGAGTTGGGCGGCCGGAACATGGCGATGAGGCTGATGCGGCTATGGCTAGCCATGGCGCTGGTACTCATGGCAGAAGCAGGCGAAAGATGCCGAGACGCTTCCCTCCTCTCCACTCGCCTTCCCTCCTCTCTCCGCTCTTCCTCCTCTTCCCGCTCTCTCCACCTGCGCCGCCACCGCCATCTCTTGTTCAACGTAGACCCACCGAAGATAGCTATCCCCGCCGCCGCTTCCTGCGATACACGAGGGCCGCATCCTGTCCCTCAAGAGGATGAGCTGAGCAGATCGCCGTCTCGTCGTTCCATCGCCGACCTCGCTGCATCCCCCAGCTTCAGCGTCGGCATCACCTCGTCCTCGCGCGCAGCTCGTGCTCCGGCCGCTGTTATTGACGAGATTTCGAAGAGATACCTCAAGCCCGGGGTCGTCAACCTTGCAGCAGGATCCTCTTCATGGCCTCCTCCTCCCGGTTGCATGGAGGAGGCAACCCGCCTCCTGCAGAAGGGCGATCCGGAGCTGCATCGATACGGGGACTGCGAAGGGCTGCAAGCACTGACGGAGAAGCTGAAGCAGAAGCTGAAGCGGGAGAACAACATTGAGGGAAAGGAAGTCATGGTGACAGCAGGAGCCAACCAGGCCTTCGTGAATGTGATGCTCGCCGTCTGTGATCCTGGCGACTACGTTGTGCTGTTCAAACCCTACTACTACTCCCACCGAGTCGCCGTGGAGTTGGCGGGTGAGGATGGACTGGGGAAAGGAGAAGGGTCGTGATTCCCTTACTGCAGGAGCCAAAGTCATAGAGGTCTCGTGCGAGAGCAACTTTGAACCTGTGAGCCCTCCTTGTCTACCCCGTTCTCCCTTCCCTCGTCCACCACCAAAATCTCCTCCTCTTCCTGTGGTCTGAGCTGTTGCCGCAGGACCTAGCGGAGCTTCGGCAAGTCCTCAAGGCGGCAGAGGCGAATCAGCAAAGAGGTGGAACGCCTGTTCCCAATCGTGTTGAGATCCTGGCGTCGTTTCTTGCGTTGTTGTGTTGATAAGACATGTTCCCGTCAACACCTTGAATCGATGTGAAGTGAAGTGATGTGAAGTGAAGTGATGTAATGTGATGTGATGTTTATTTGATTTGAAGCGTCATCACCTGGCTTTCTCCTGCAGTGAAGATGGCGGTCATAGTGACGCCCGGCAACCCGTCTGGAGCCTTGATATCCAGTGACACGTTGAACAAGTGAGGAAATGAAAATCTCAACCTCCTCCAAGTCTTGTCGCCGGACATCTACCTGTGCGACTGATTCTCCTCTTTCTGCCGGCAGGCTCGTTGAAATCTGTGCCTCCAAGAAGATCTGGCTGGTCAGCGACGAGACCTACGAGTGAAGGAGGAGGGAAAGGCAATGCCTGAGGTTTACGAGGTGCGATGCAGATATTTCACGTACGACGGGGCGGAGCATGTCTCTCCGACAGCAGACGATGGAGTCATCAATATCTACAGGTGCGGGGGCAAGGCAGGTCATGGCAGCGTCCAACAGGATTTGGGAGGAAGAAAATGAAGAGGGGAGGAGAATGTTAGAAAGTGAGATCGAGCTGGGGTAAGGGGGGAAAGATCAACGATGAAGAGAGAGAGGAGAGAGGAAGAGAGGAGAGTGAGAGGAGGGAAGGATCAAAAGTTCAGTCTTGACGGACGTGCAGCATGTCCAAGGCGTATGGGATGGCGGGATGGCGCATCGGTGGCTCACCCCTTGGCGAACTGCTACTCTAACCTTCCTCAGGTTACGTCGCTTATCCTTCCCACCTTACCAGCGCGATGCTGAAAGTTCAGGACACGATCCTGACTATGGCAACAGTCCTGGCGCAGGTGATGTGGGGGATGCGGAGGCGTGTCCTCCCCGCAACGCTCTGCTTGTTGGGCAACCGCAGTGACTTAGAGACTGCAGAAAGTTGCGCTCAAGGCGTTGGACTACGGGAGGAGCTGGGTTCGAGAGAATGTAGATGCCAGATGAAGCGAGAGGTCGGGGGCTGACATACACGCAGGTCAAGTCACTCATTCCCATCCGCAGCAGGGTGAGTGATGAGGGAGGAAGAAGTTTCTGTCAGATGCCGTCGCACCTCTTATCTTGCTCCCCATATCTTGCTGCTCATGCCTGTTCCTGCCTGCATGCCCCTCCATCCCTTCCACACAGATGTACTCGTTGCTGGTGTCATGTACATCTTGGTTCTTGCCGTGACCACCAGGACAGATCTATGAAGTTCTCGAGCCCCTCAACCCATTCATGTCTCAGGTGACATCCTGACCTCGCCTCACTCCCCCTCTCCTCACCTCCCTTTCCCTCCCATCTCCTTCCCTGCCCTTGCATCATCACCATCGTCTTCGTCCTCCTCCTCCTCCTCCTCCTCCTCCTCCTCCTCCTCCTCCTCCTCCTCCTCCTCCTCCTCCTCCTCCTCCTCCTCCTCCTCCTCCTCCTCCTCCTCCTCACGATCATCATCATCATCATCATCATCATCATCATCATCATCATCATCATCATCATCATCATCATCATCATTCACGCAGGGAGCCTTCTACTTCATGATCAAAATTCCTTCAATCCTCGACGAGATCCGCATGATAGACATGTTTGCCAACGACCATGGACTCCTGGTACTTCTTTGCTCCAAACAACCTCTAACTTCTCTCTGTTCTAAACCTTCTCTACATCTTTTCCTTCTCCTCCTCTTCTTGTCTCTTCTCCTGATCGTCTTTCAGCTCACACCTGGTTCTGCTTTCGGCATGGATGGTAACAGAGGAGGAGGAGGACAAGGAGGAGGAAAGGATAAGGATGCTTTATCAGGCTACCTGCGCCTTGCTTATGGCTGCATCACTGCTGATCGATTGGACGATGTAATCTCGAACCTCCTCCTCATTGCTTGCTCAATCTCCTCCTGCTCCTCATGCTGCTCCTCCTGCTCCTGCTCCTGCTCCTGCTGCTCCTGCTGCTCCTGCTCCTGCTCCTGCTCCTGCTCCTGCTCCTGCTCCTGCTCCTGCTCCTGCTCCTGCTCCTGCTCCTGCTACTCTTCCTCCTCGTCCTCCTCCTTCATTTCTACCATCTCGGTCCTCGCTTCCTCTGAAACTAGGCAGGTTTGCGACAAATTGAAGTTGGCTGTGCGGAACATGATTAGGATCGGCCTGGTATCTTGTGGTGGAGGAGAAGGAGGAGGAGGAGGATTGTAGGTGGAATGGGAGGGAGGTTGCTGGAAGGGTGTCGAACAGGTGATCGGCTTTTGGAGGAACGGAGCAGGAGCAGGAAGAGCAGGAAGAGCAGGAGCAGGAGCAGGAGCAGGAGCAGGAGCAGGAGCAGGAGCAGGAGCAGGAGCAGGAGCAGGAGCAGGAGAGAGCAGGAGAACTGACGGTTTTGTTCAGCGCTGCTCGTTCGAGCACCAATGTTCGAATCCTCTGACGAGCGGGAGGGAGGGAACGTGAGCTGCTGCGCCTGCTGCTCCTCCTTGCTGATTGTCTTGTCAACGGCAGATGGGGAGAGCTGGACGACGAGAGAAACTTGATCGAGCGAGAGACGATGCACATCGCACGTCAGGTGAGGAGTAGAGGCGGAGGAAGACGACAGGGAGTTGGGATCGTAAGGGCAGCTGGAAAGGGACGGGGAGCAGGGACGGGGAGGAGGCAGGACAGGAGGAGAACAGGAGGGAGAGGAGAGCAGGAGGTGAAAGGAGCTGCAGGCGTCGCGGGATGGGAAGGAGCTGCTGTTTGAGGAGGACACATGATGAGCAATTTTCTTGGCCAAATGAAATACTTTTGAGGACGAGGAGCTGAAGGAGGAGGAATGGGAGCGAGGAGGCGAGAGGCAGGACAGGACAAACAAGAGCAAGAGGAGGCTGGTGAGAAGTGAGCAGGAGCGGAAGGAGGAGGGGGTGGTAGGGGAGGAGTTAAGGGGGAGGGCAGCAACGCTTGCACCCGAGGCAGCATGGTTCACAGCATTTCATCACACGTTGTAATACGAAACATCCCCCCTGCTCACCGGCACGTCCGACGATCTCCTGACTTCGCGAGACCCTGCTTGGCGGGTCGTTGGAGGGAAGAGGAGGGAGGAGGAGGACTGGGCCGCAAGGAGTCTCTCCAACATCGCCTCAATCCTATCCACCTTCTCCAGCTTCCCCTCGATCCTCGCAAGTCGATCTCGCAAGTCCCCCTCCACCTCGCTGCTCATCATCCTCTCCCTCTCCTCCTTCGCTTGCTCCTTCAACCGCTGTCCGTCAGACATGCTGTGCTCGAACTTCTTCTCTCCTCCTGCCCCTGCCCCTGCCCCTGCTCCTCCATCCCCGTTGATGCCGTGCTCCCCAGCTCCTACATCTCCATTGCGATGCAGCTTCCCAACCAGCAGCTCGTCATGGTCGCCGTGGAGCCCTTCCTTGTTCCACTGCCTCTTCCTCTCCTCCTCGATCTTCTTGAGGTTGTAGATGTTCCCGTGGGGGTTGAGTAAGCTCATCTGGCTGCCAAGGTCGTTGATCATGAGCGACATGATCTTGAGGGTCTTCATGATCATCAGGTTCTCCGAGTCGTTCACCTCCGCCAGGTGGATCGCGTTGGCGAGCTGCCGCTGCAGGTACAGCGCTAGCTGCATGCGCATGATCCCTTGGAAGCCGTCCTCTGTCACCTCCCCGTCCTCGTTGCACATCATCCCGTTGCAGGTGATCTCGTCAAAGTCGTCCCTGCTCAGCGTGATCTTGGGGAGCAGCGGGAACTTCTGGAAGCCCTGCCGCAGCTCGGGAAAGCTCAGAGTCCCGTTGCCGTTGTCATCGATGGCAGCGAAAAGGGAAGCGATGCGGCTGGTCAACTGCTCGGTCGAGCTGTGGGCCGAGAGGGACTCGAGGACAGGATCGAGAGCGTGAAGGGAGAATGGCTCTCCATGCTTGTACTCCTGCTCCTGGAAAATCTTCTTCTTTTCCTTGTCGGCAGCGGCAGTGAAGTTGTCGAGCATGACGGCAACGACAACTTGCAGGAGCGACCAGCCGACGATGACGACGAAGGAGACGAAGAAGAAGGAGGACGCGATGTTGACATCTGGAAGGATCGAGTTCGGGTTGTCTTGGAAGATCAAGGGCCGGCTGATATCCGACGCCCACCCATCTCCCGTCGCCACCTGGAACATCGTGAAGAGGGCGAGGGAGAAGGTGCCGAACTTTTCAGGGCTCGTCTGGGAGAAGAAGGTGACGCCGACAATGGCGTAGATGCTGGTGACGAGCAGCATGATGATGTAGGCGTTGAAGACGGGCAGGATCGAGGCCGTCAGGGCGTTGATAATCTGACGGAGGGAGGCGAGCCTGCCGAAGAGGCGCACGACACGGAAAGCTCGCATGAGCCTCAGGTGGGAAAGGCCGGGCACATCGTTGAGGAAAAGCGCGACCAGGGAGACGCCCACGACTGTAAGGTCGAAGAAATTCCAACCGCTCTCGAAGAACGGTTTGAACCAGTTAGCGGTCATGTTGACAACCAGCTCGACCGTGAAGATAACGGTGAAGCACAGGTCAAGGTTGTCAAAGAGCGCGGCCGTCTTGCTGTTGTCGGTCGTCGGGGAGATTTCGGACTGTAGGACGTTGGTGAGGAAATTGAGGAAGATGAACAGCGCGACGAGGTACTGCAGGAAGTCGGAGTCGTAGAAGAGCTTGAGGTGGTACTGCAGCGTGCGTATCCTTGATGTCCCCTTCACGTGCGCCTTGATCAGAGCCTTCTTCCTCAGGCTCTGCATCTCCTTGATCCAAGTCTTGCATTCCGACTTGTCCTGGAACTTGAACGAGAAGGACCTCCCGAAGCTGTTACTGAACATCGCTGTCACGACCTCCAGGACTGCATCGTCAAAGTCGCTGAGGCACTCCTCCTCGAACGTGTTGCTGTACTCTGCCCTCCTCTCCAAGAACTCGTCGACGTTGGAGTGACGGATCCTGGTGATGTCATTCAGGCTTATGATATGGTTGACCACAGTGCCGTCGGAGTTCCCAATCATCAGGTCGTCCTCGGTCAAGAACACGTACTTGGGCACATAGTTCCTGAGGAAATCAGTCATCTGCACCGGGCTCTCGTGCACGATTTCTGACTTGAGAGGAGGAGGAATGTCAATGAGATCCCCGTCATCCTTGAGCTTGTTCAGGGCTTCGCGGATCATAGCATCGTCGCGACGAATGGACCCCACTTTGGTGCTCTTCCTCAGACGCTCCATGATGCTTCTGCCTTCCGCCATCTTATCTTTCGAGTGTTTCACTGAAATCTCACTGCTTTTTCACAGCTCGTCTTGAGACCCCGGCTCAACCAGCAACTTGATTGTTTCTGATGACAGGTCAAAACGGTGCTGCTTCCATTTCACAGCAACCAGGAACAGTACGTAGCATCTCTCTTCTGCTTTCGGAGAGTATCTCCCAAATATTCACTGCCCTCTGTCTTCTCTTCCCCTCTCTCCTGCTCCTGCTGCTCCTGCTGCACCTGCTCCTGCTCTTGTCACTGCACGCCCATTGATGTTCTGGGACGCTTCGTGAGGGTAGGGTGGTGAGAGCATAGTGATTCCTTGGGGGTGGGGTGGCCTTGCAGCTCAACGAGTTCGGGGTGGGGATGATAATGGACGTAGGTGGAAAGATGAGGGGTCAGTGTTTTTTCAGTCGAAGGAGGGGTGATTTCAGAAGAAAACTGACTTATGGAAAAGTGGATGGGGTGGGTCAGGGAAAGGAAACAGTTTCCAGGGGGTAGGGTGTCTTGGGAAGTGGTTGCTAGTAGGGGTGGGGCCTTGATGACTTTAATCGAACATGTGTACGTAGTGGAGAAGTCAGGCAGCCCTGGGGAGTACCCCGTCCTCTCAGTCAATACAACATAGTAAAGGGTGGTAGGGTGGAGTAATCAAGGATGTCAAAACGACATTATTACGGGGGTCCAAAGAGGGAGAATGAGGGGGTAGGGGGGTCGGAGTACATTTCTAGCACGATTGATACCACCGGTACTTTCTAATATCGATAAACCGGTGGTAATAACAGAGGAATCCCCTGTTATAACCACCCGTTCCTATCACCCCAAAAACCACCGGTGCAATGAATATCTTTCAAATTCTGTTGATTAATGAGTTTCGCCGGAGAATTTCGGATTTTTCTTACACCGCCGGGCGGCCCGCGGCAGTGAGTCCGAGGTCGGGCCCGGCCCCCCGGCCCGAGCTGTTGACCGTTGATGACAAGCTCGACTACTCGATGATGAACTCAGAATGAGATCGGGGATGGTGGAAGAGAGTACAGGAACGGACAACTTGACCGTGGACTCAGCGGCCACGGCGGTGACTTCGAGGCGAGTCACCGTCCGGTCCGAGACAGTCACGGTCCGACTAAGTTCATTTGCCGTCTCATCACGATACTTCGTCCCTCAGGTGAAGGAGGGGAGGAGGCCAAAGCTGAAAGTCCGCGGCGGCTCGTTGCACTGAATTCCAATGTCTCGGGTCTTGGGCTGCTGCCCCTCCCCGGAGTCCCGGCTCCCGCCCTCCTTCTCCCCATCCTGCTTCCTCCCTACAACGAGGTCAGTCAAGGAGGAGAGAGAGAGAGTTGAAGCCTTTACCGCCATTAGGGCATTCGTTGATGATCTGAATCTGCAGGAACATGTTTCAAACACCTGCCTTGCCCCACCGTCCTCCCTGTCTCCCTCCTCTTCCTCTCCCCTCCCCTCATTCCCCGGGGCACTTACATGTCCAGCTGTCGACGGGCTCTCAGGTTCGCTGGCTCCTGTTGCCCAGGTGGGACCAAGACTCGCCAGAGCTCCATGCACGATGCTCTCGAAGATCGAGGCAGCCTGCGGCAGGTCGGCCAGCCGTCTCCTCCTCTCTCTCTCAGGTCCTCGTACCTCATCCGCTTTCGCCGCCAGCTCCTGGGCCCTGCACAGAGTTGAGAGACAGCAGGCCAAAGACGGAGAGAATCAAGATTGTGATGAGGAGGGTATGAAGGCGACAAGTGGGAAGTGGCCGTCATTGGGGAAGGAGAAGGGGGGGCAAGAGGAGGAGGACGAGGAGGACGAGGAGGACGAGGAGCTTCGGAAGTTTCACCTCTTCTTGTCTGTGATCTTGCTCAGCATCGCCTGCACTTTGAGTCAGCAGCAGCCAGTCGCTTGTCGCTTCCTGCCTGTGCTATTGCCTCACTGCTTGACCGAGGTGGAGCAGCCCGTGCGTCCTGTAGTTCGAGTCAGAGAGACTTTGTGCTTTGTGTGGGTTACGATGTAAGTAGAGAGGAGAGGGAAGGGGAGGGAAAGGATGGAGGAAAGGGAGGACAAAGGAGGGAAAGTGGTGGAGGGAAGCGAGGGCAGAGGAGGAAAGGGAGAGAAGGTGGTGGGGGAGGGAGGGGGAAACGGAGGCAGCGATGAGGGGAGGGGGTCAAGAAGAAACATTCCTGCACGAGGGGATTGAGGGAGTCTAAAACGTTGCCATCCAAAAATTCCTTGTCGGATATAGTGACGTCATCACCTGAGACTGATCAGAAAGCCCATACTGGTCATGGAAATGCTGAGCAAGAGAGCAGGAGAGCAGGAGAGCAGGAGAGCAGGAAGAGAATAGGATCAAGACGCAAGGGTACATGGCAGCACCTCTCTCCCTCTTCTCCTTGAGCATCTGCCCCTCCTGCGTCCTCTCCTTCTTGCGGGCTTGGAAGAACTCAGACATGAGCTCCGTTGCCTTGTCCTTGGAGAGCCCAACCTTGCTCTCCTGCCTGACGCACACCACGACCCCAACCATCCAGCCCGCAGGGATGTTGGCGATGCCGGGAGGGAAGAATTCCATCACGTGGATGGCTCCTTCCTGTAGGACGGCGGCCTCCTTGTGCATAATGAGGCAGCAGGGGAGGCGGGTGGTGAGGGAGGGGGAGGGGGAAGGAGGGAAGAGGGGTCCCTCCACCAGTCGCGGGATGACGCGGAAGCGGGCCTGTGGATCGAACTCGACGAAGACAACAGCGGCAGCCCCTGCCTGCTGGCAGTAGAAGAGCTTGAGGGAGAAGTTGCAGGCAGGAGCGTTCGCTCGGGGCCCCCGCATGACGGCCACGATCTTCCCTCGGACCTGGGAAACGGTAAGGAGGGGGGGATGGGGGGGGGGGGGGGGAGGAGGGAGGAGGAGGAAACGGAGGGAGCGGATTAGGAAATGCGCAAAAGGGGAGGAGAGGGTGGGAGTGGGTGGGAGTAGGAGTGGAGACGTTAGGAGTGTGCAGAAGAGGAGGAGGGTAGGGGAGAAGAGCAGGACAGAAGGGAAGGAGGAGAGGAGGAGAGGAGAGGATCCACCTCGTCTGCATTCCACAAGGGCATTTCTGCATGCTGAGGTCTCGCCCAGACTGGCGGGAAAAATTCAAACAGGGAGGAGACTAAAGATGTCGAGCAGGAGAGGGTAAAGAGAAGAAGGCTAGGATGGAAAACCAACAACAATCGGGAACCGCAGGAAGGGAGGGGAAGTGAAGACGACTCGAAGGAGAAAAAGACGAGGGAAAGGTAGAGCAGGAGGAGCAGGAGGAGCAGGAGGAGCAGGAGGAGCAGGAGGAGCAGGAGGAGCAGGAGGTGGAGGAGCAGGAGCAGGAGCATTTCGTATCACACCTAGTCGTGCTGAAACCTTGCGGATGTGACTATAGTCAAAATTGGCTTTTGGTTTGCCATCATTCTACAATGCGATCAGCAACAATCAATTATGTCTCCTCCTCTCCTCTCCCCTCCGCTCCCCTCCGCTCCCCTCCGCTCTCCTCTCCTCTCCTCGCCTCGCCTCTCCTCTCCTCTCCTCTCCTCTGCCTTCACATTTCCCTCCTCTCCTCCCTCTCCTCAGCATCACATTCGGATCCGGATTGTAGGTAACGATGGGAAGGGCAGCACAGTCTGCCTTGCCCCACTTGTAGCCCTCTGGCGGCTCCTCCTCCATGCTAGAGGGCTGCAGTTGATCCCACAAGAAGCCCCGAAAGTCGTAGGAGACCTGCCAAGGGGAAGAAAAGACGACGAGGAAAGAAGAGTCACACACAGTTGTAGGAGGACGTGATGAAAGGACCAGGACCAGGACCAGGACCAGGACCAGGACCAGGACGAGACGAAGACGAGGATAAGGACGAAAAGTGGGAGAGACAGGAGAAGTTCGGGGAGGATCATTGAAGGACGAAAATAAAATTGAGGTTGTTCTTGGGGTTGAGTGGGAGGGGGGGGGGCGGGGAGAGGGGGAGAAGGTGGAGATGGAGATGGAGATGGAGATGGAGATGGAGATGGAGGAGGAGGAGAAGGTAGTGGCGGTGGTGGTCAGAGGGGATGGGTGGGGGGTAGCCGTGCCTTGTAGCGAGTGCCATCCTTGTCAATGAGGTGACCGTTGCCTGGACGACCCTCGCGAAACTGACCGAAGAATTCGGAGCTGTGGAAGACATGGTGAGAGGAAGGGGGAGAAAGGGAAAGGACTGAGGAGGAGGAGGGAGGGGGAGGGAGGGAGGGAGGGAGGGAGGGAGGGAGGGAGGAAAACGAGGGAGGAGGGAGGAGGAGAATGGCGAAAGGAGCGAGGAGAAGGAGGACAAGGATGGGAAGAGAGGAGAAGGATAGGAGAGGAGAAGGATACCCGTCGGGAAAGACGTAAAGGCCGATGCCTGTAAGGTCTCCTTGCTTGAACTGGCCGTGATACTGAGATCCGTCCGGCCAGCGCAAGGAACATTTGAGACCGATGCACTGAAGAGAAAGTGAGGAGAAGAGAGGAAAGGAGAGGAGAAAGGAGTGAGGAGGAGAAAGGAGTGAGGAGGAGAGAGGAGGAGAGGAGGAGAAGAGTGGAGGGGAGAGGAGGAAAGGAGGAGGGAGGAAAGAGGAGAGGACAGAGGAGGACAGTGGAGAGCAGAGAGCAGAGAGCAGAGAGCAGAGAGCAGAGAGCAGAGAGCAGAGAGCAGAGAGCAGGGTAGAAGAGCTGCGGAAGTGATGACTCACATCTCCACTGGAACTGTCAGGCAGCGCATTCATCCAGGTGCCCGTGTAGACACAGTCATCCAGCTCGAAGCTGTGATAGCTGACGAAGTTGTGAGGATGAGGAAAGGAGAAGACGGAGGAGGAGACGGCAGCGATGGGAAACCAGGGGAGTGAGACAAAGAGGGGCAAAGGATGAGGAGGGAGAAGAGAAGGAGGAGGGAGAGTAAAAGGGAGAGGGTGAGGAGAAGGAGGAGGGTGAGGAGAAGGAGGAGAGAGAGGAGAAGGAGGAGAGAGAGGAGATGGAAGAACAGGAGGAGCAGCAAGCAGCAAGCGAGAAGACGCAAGGAGATGTGAAGAAGAAAAGAGGCGAGGCAGAGAGGGCAGGAGGAAGAGAGTGAAAGGATGGAGCAGGAGAGGGGAGAGGCAAGGAGGAGCAGGGATCTTTTTTCACCCGTTGATCTCATTTTGTTCAAGAGGCTGCAGGCTGGTCTCGCCCGTATTCAACTTCACGTCAGTAACGCGGGACCCTGCGGCTGTCGTCATGCAGGCGATGTGAATAACATCTACTCCTGCTGCTCGTCCTCTCCTTCCTCCATCTCGTACTCCTCCTCCCACTCCTCCCCCTCCTCCTCTCATCCTCTTTCTCCTCCTGCTCCTGCTGTACGTTCTCCTCCCCCTCCTCCCCCTTCCACATCTCCTCCCCCTCACCGAGTATTCGCAGCTTGTCGCATCTCGGGCCGTGATTGCCCTGCCCAGCTGAAGCCTTGCAGACGAAGCAGCAGTAGTCGGTGTGCCACGTCACCGCGTAGCCGCACTGACCCGAGCAAGGCGTTGCTCCTTTAGCCGCTGGGAACAAGTGAGGAGATGGAGGGGACAGGGAGCAGCGGGCAGCGAGACGGGAGAGGAGACAGAAGAAACAGAGTAAAGTGTCAGAGAGGGGAGACGAAGGCTGCCAGAAGGAAGGAGGAGGACGAGGAGAGCGAGGAGAGCGAGTAAGGCAAGAACAGCAAGTGTGTCAGCGAGTAATGACCTATCGGCATCCGAACATGATGGGGACATTTGAAGGACAACTCGGGGACTCCATGAATTCTGACTAGATAACCTTGGAACATGCTGCCCTGCAAGCACAGGCGGGTCGATGATGGCAAGAGGAATGAAGAAGGTAAAAAGTGATCAGGAGGGACGAGCGAGGAGCGAGGAGCGAGGAGCGAGGAGCGCGGGGGAGGGGGAAGAGATGAGACGTCGAAAAGGGTTGGAGTTGTAGGATGAATTGAGTGAGAGAACGATGAAGGAGAAGTAAAACATCCTTACCGTCATCTGATACTGAGCGACAATGCAAGGCTTCCACTCCTTGTCTGTTTTCATGTGGACGGTAGTGCCAGTTGGAAAATACTGGAATACGCAAATTGTTGTCAAGGAGCCATCAAAGTTTTCATCATCATCTCCATCATCTCCGTCATCTCCATCAAAATCCATCAAAATCTTCCTCCTCCTCCGCTCCCTTTTCCTCCTCCGCTCCCTCTTCCTCTTCCTCTTCCTCCTTCTCTTCCTCCTCTTCTTCCATCACCTGCAGCCTGTCGCACTTGGGACCATGAAAGTCTTCTGCACCCCCATCCTTGCAAGCTTCACAGCAATGTGTCGCATGCCACGTGGTCGCATATCCGCAGCCTCGCGCGCAGCTCCTGCTGTTCGGCATGGCTACCAGCACATAACAGTCAGTAGGAGGGAGGAAGAAGGCAAGAAGCGAGAGCATGAAGGCAAGGACGAGGACGAGGACGAGGACGAGGACGAGGACGAGGACGAGGACGAGGACGAGGACGAGGATGAGGACGAGGACGAGGACGAGGACGAGGACGAGGACGAGGACGAGGATGAGGACGAGGACGAGGACGAGACTGACCGATAGAATATCTGATGTTTTCGACCTTATGCATCTTCTCCTTGTCATACCCATCGCACCAGTCGATCTCCACCGTCGCACCGTCGATCTGCAGGGACATGGCTCAGACCACCACCACAACCTCTTCCTCCTCCTCCTCCTCCTCTTCCTCCTCTTCTCTTCTGTGCTTCACGCTTCTCATTCACACTTGGTATCCTCATCTTATTCCTCTCCTCTCCCCTTGTCTGCCTCCTTCCGCTCGCCGTTTCTTGACTCCCCTCCCATCCCATCCCCTCCCCTCTCCTCTCCTCTCCTCTCCTCTCTCCTGTCGTGTTCGCTCCCCTCTGCTCCACTCTCCTTTCCTTCCTTCTCTTCTCCCTTCATCTCATCTTCTCGTCCACTTGGTTTACCTTCACGATCGATGCTGTGTGCCACCTCCCATCTTTACGCTGAGCTCGAACGAACTGATTCACTTCCCATTGGAGCTCCTGAGAGGAAGAAAACGAGCAAGTGAGCGAGAGCGAAGAGGGAGCAAATGGAGCAGCCGGAGGACGAGCAGGTAGATGGTGTAACAAGAATTGAACTTACAATCTTCATCTCTCCCTTGTTCCCTCCTGCCAGACTTGGTTGACAAGAAGCTTGACAGCAATGCAGAGCATTCACCTGCTTGAAGGTTGGACGACAGGTAGGTGCTGGCATATTCCTTCATCTTCTTCACATTGTCTTCTCCCTGCTCCAGATGATAAGAAAGGTTCAAACTTTCTCTTTGCTGCTTCTCTCCCACTGTTCCCTTTCCACTTCGTGCTCTCCCTTCTCCCTTCCCCTCTCTCTTCTCTCCCCTCCCTCTTCTTGTGTCCTCCTCCCCTCCCCTCCTCCTCACCGCGAACGAAACAAGTTTCTTCAAGATCGATGCGGCAACTGCGAGACAACTTCACGGTTCCATCCACAGCCCCGGGAAGTCAAGCAAACCTGCTTCGTCCGTCTTGGAAGTTGCCTGAACCTAATGAAACGCCTCAAGGAGGACAAGAAGAAGAAGGATAAGGAGAACAAGGACAAGGAGCAGGAGCAGGGAGCAGGGAGCAGGGAGCAGGGAGCAGGGAGCAGGGAGCAGGGAGCAGGGAGCAGGGAGCAGGGAGCAGGGAGCAGGGAGCAGGGAGCAGGGAGCAGGGAGCAGGGAGCAGGAACAGGAGCAGGGAGCAGAAACAGGAGCAGGGAGCAGGGAGCAGGGAGCAGGGAGCAGGGAGCAGGAGCAGGAGCAGGATGGCCTCGGGAGGGGAAGAGCCACCCTTCTCTTACTTGTTTGAGGGGGTTGAGGGAGTCCAGGAAGTTGCTGTTACCCCACTCCTTCTGCAGCAGCTGATCCTCTGACAAAAGGTGAACCAGCAGCTGGGGAAGGAGGAGGAGGAGGAGGAGGAGGAGGAGGAGGAGGAGGAAGGGAAGCAAGAGAAGGAGGAGGAGGGGGCACCTTTCTTGTCGCTCTTCTCATTCAGTAGGAGCTTCTCTTCCTCGATCCTTTCTTTCTTCCTCGCCTACTTCAGGAAGTCAGCAAGCAAGCAAGCAAGCAAGCAAGCAAGCAAGCAAGGTGTTTGTCTGGTTGAACTGACCTCGAAGAACTCTGACATCAAAGCTGTCGCCTTGGACTTTGACAACCCAGCCCTTGAAAAGAAGCAGACAAAGATGAGAAGACAGTCGACGAGAAGATAAAGAAAGACGAGAAGAAAGTCGAAGTTAAGAGAGATTGAAGAACAGGTTAACAAACAAAAGACACTGACAGGACGAGACAGCAATGATTTCCCTCACTTGTTCTCTTGCTTCGGCACAATGACAAACCCGATCTTGTAATTCTTGAACCTGCAGCTCCACTTCACCTTCAACTCGCTGCCAATGCCATGACCTACCTCGGGTCCACAGCGAACCCAGGCGGGGCAAAGGTGATGACGTGTACGGCCCCTTCTTGGATGATACCAGAGTCCCTCTGAACCATCAGTGAGAAGAAGGTTGTGCAAGTGTTCATGTTGTGATGAGACAGATGGTGGTGACTCTGTATAAGAGAGTCTTGACAGGTTGATCATACTCTGAGCCACAAGGCCTCACATGTGAAAACAACGTCATCATATGAGGACACAAGACGACTACGCATACTTGACGTTACAACTCAACCCCGTCTTTCTCTCTCATGAGAAGCTCACATCACATGTCATAACAAGAACCCGCCGCTCTCGTATCAACATCTCGCCATGGTTCAACACCAACGAATGTTGTCGTTTCTGGCCATCTGTCGAACAGCTCTGTACCTTCAACATCAGGCAGCAGGGAATTTTCGCTCTGAGCCTGGCAGGAGGATACTTCCCTTGCCTGCCGCGCGCATGAACAGGGAGGGAAGCAACTTACAAACTTACAGATCCGGAGGATAGGCGAGCTCCCCCTCGTCTACGCGTGGGATCCTGTGAGATATAGATGATAAGGTTGAGACCAACACAAGCTCTACAAGCTCTCCGTTCTGCCCTGCTCTGCCCTGCCCTGCCCTGCCCTGCCCTGCCCTGCCCTGCCCTGCCCTGCCCTGCCCTGCCCTCAGCTTTGCTCCTGCTATCGTGTTTTTCTCCTCTCATTGTTTCACTCACAAAGTGAACGCATCGATCCCCTCCAGGTCGATGAAGATAACTCCGACAGCTCCCGCTTGCTGCATGCGAGTGAGACATGTCAAGAGCATGAAAGTAAGGCCAGAAGGAGAGCGGAGGGAAGAAAGGAGTGTAGGAGCAGGGAGCAGGGAGCAGGGAGCAGGGAGCAGGGAGCAGGGAGCAGGGAGCAGGGAGCAGGGAGCAGGGAGCAGGAGGCCGATTGGTGCAGGTCCGTGGAAGTAGAAGCAGGAAGAAGTGGATGTGAAGTAGTCGGTAAAGGAGGAGAAGGAGCGTGAGGAGCGTGAGGAGCAGGGAATGGATCATGCAGGAGGAGCATGTGGAGAATGTCAGTGAAAAAGCAGAAATTATCAGCAGCAGCAGAAGAAGAAAAGCAGCAGCAGCAGAAGCAGCACGGGAGCACGGGAGCGCGGGAAGAGGAAGAGTGACAAGGAGCAAGGAGTTGGTGCTGACAGCAACCTGTGCATGGTAGAGCTTGAGCCCGTAGGTGATGAGAGCAGCTGGGCGGGGGGGGCCTCGATTGATCACAACTATCTTTCCTCTCACCTGGTAATCCAAAGTTGAACAATCGTCTCCTCCTCCGCAAGCTTTGCTTACTCTTCCCCTCCCTCCCCCCCTCCCTCCCTCCCTCCCTCCCTCCCTCTCTCCCTCCCTTTCTCACTTCCGATGCATTCCAAAGGGGGATGTCCGCGTTGGGAGGGCAAGCGAAGACAACACGCGCCTTGGAAGAATCGATCAGGCAATGAGCAGGAGCAGGAGCAGGAGCAGGAGCAGGAGCAGGAGTAGGAGTAGGAGTAGGAGCAGGAGTAGGAGCAGGAGTAGGAGCAGAAGTAGAAGCAGGAGCAGAAGCATACCTTGACATCCTTTGCTGTGGGATATTTCTGCGGGCTACCTGCACTTGAATCGTTACCGTCCTCCTTCATTTATCCCTCTCCATTCCCCTGTGTCTACCTCCTTCTTGACAACCTCTACCTCCTCCTACTCCTCCCCTTCCTCCTCTTTCAAACATTCTTGCCACTCCTCCTCCTGCTCCTGCTGATGTCCTCCTCCTCCTGCTCCTGCTGATGTCCTCCTCCTTCCCACCCCTTGCCACTGGCCCCTACAAGGCTGCTCGCGATGCCTACGTCGCTGCCACCGGGACTTACACCTAGTCCCTATGGTCCTGCATCTGCTCCTGCTCCTGCTGCACCTACACCAAATTCCTCTGCTCTTGCTCCTGCTCCTGCTGCTCGTTCCCATCATCTCCGTCTCCTTCATTCGTTCTTCAACTCCGCTCTCCTCTCTCTTTGCTCCTTGTCCTCTCCCCCTCCTGCTCATCCCCTTCTCTCCTATGTACCTTCTTCCTCCTGGATGTCCAGATCTCGTACACTGAGACCGATGCAATGCGTTCTGGAGGGAATGAAGGACTGCAAGACCAGGTTGAGAGGGGAAGAAGGAAGGAGAATGAGTTGCAGGATTGACAATGGCCACGACAGGAGGAGACGAGAGGAGGGGGAAAGGAGAAGAGGAAGAAATTGCGGTATCGGTGGATGCGTTGTGAATGAAGCTCATAGCGGTGCGGGAACAAAGGAGGAGAGGAGGAGAGGAGGAGAGGAGGAGAGGAGGAGAGGAGGAGAGGAGAGGAGAGGAGGAGAAGAGGAGAGGAGGGGAGGAGAGGAGGAAAGGAGGAGGAGAGGAGGAGAGGAGAGGAGGGGAGGAGAGGAGGAGGAGAGGAGGAGAGGAGGAGGAGAGGAGGAGAGGAGGACAGGTAT